AATAAGATCTATGATTGTAATAGATCATGTCATTAAGTTGTTTTACTGACTCAATCAGACCAACATCTATCAAACTAATCTACCAGACATCAGTAAATTTCCTGTTCACTATGTAAATGTTTTGTCTTGTCTATTTAGATGACATAGACGTTTAATATATGGAGTGAAAGAAGAAGAAATAAAACAGTATGGAGAGACTAGAAAGGAAGAATAAAACCATAACCAAACCAGCAGCAACAATATCATTCATCCTTGATATATCCATTCATTCATTCATTCCTTAACCCAATTTATCCTACACAAGTTGATTAATAGTATCCTTATAACCACAAACCTCGTTCTGTCATGTGACAGTCATGTGACAGGATTGTCAAGGGTGTTAATAAATCATCAACTTTCCATGTGATGTCACATAGCAACCATTTGATTCATTAATTTAAATGATGTCATATTATATGAACTATATGATGTCGCTTAGCAACCATTCTAAATTGATGTTTGAAGTTTTCTGATTTTGAATTTTCATGTGATGTCACATTATGTCGCTTGACAACCATTCATGTGATGTCACATTATGTCGCTTGACAACCATTCATGTGATGTCATATTATGACAATGTGATATCACATAGTAACAATTCATAATTTTTGATTCATTGATACAGTTTGAAATCATATCATGTGATTAGTAATGTGCATTTATATTTTGATTGCAGTTCATTATTTATATAGGTATCAATGTGCTACACTTTTAGTTGGAAGCATTGCCTGCCCTCTTAGAATAACCGGACTATGGTGGGAAACCCCCATCTTTTCTTATCTTTTAGTGCTTAAGAGACTACACCACATTGGTGAAAACTTAAGGATAGCTTCCCCTAGTTCCAGGCTGGTGACATTAATACCCTGTAATTACAAAATGAGCTCTTCCAAACATGCATGAAAGTGTGATAATGATTGAAAAAAAATGCATGTGTGGAAGAGTTCATTCAATGTCAAGGGGTGTTCATAAAGTATATAACTTTACTTCCTAAGACGCATGTTATTGCAGTTTCCCCCGGAAATCTCCCCCCCCCCCTCTTCATTTTTGGAGTCAATAACAAAGATACATGCCTTTATTAAGATCATTCCAATATATGTATTACTCTATAGATATTTGTCCCATGAGCATTTGAGGGCAAGAGGGCTAATTTATCATCTGTGGATTTTTTTCTGTGAAATAGTCAAAAGAAATAAGTGTATTAAAAGTTGTAAGCATATGCTCTGAAATATTTTTTGTTAGGAAATATTTAGACTGAAATATGTGTTTAAAAAATCATCAAGATGCTCCACTTTGGCTATAGAATCTTAGACTTGAAGTCCATAGATCAATCCTGGCAAAGGTTGAGACAGTAGAAAATTGAAAAATAGTAGGCTGATGTTACCTGATGTGCCTGGCAAAATTTTTCCTCATCGCTCACTGCATTGTGTTATCTGTCTTTATTAGCCTAATATTGAGCAGAAAGATTGAACAGAAAGTTTTATTTCCAATATGGGGATTAAAGATTTATGCTCTGAAATGACCTTGACTTATTAAAACAGGCTCTGTCATGACCCAAGAAAAAATAGATAGATGATAAATAAAGCCATATAAAGTTTATAAAAGATATATTTATGTTTGTATATTATAATTAATGATGATTAACGACTAATTGTATATAATTAACTAAGATTCGTTAACTCTGTGTATATTTTATATAATTAGTAAATGATCTGATACGTGACGTAAAGTGTAAAATCTGGTGCTTCTTACTGGAGAGGTAAAAATGCAACTTAAAGAGATTGTAAGGCGGTTTTCTGTGTATCGAGGATACTGATGGCATCTATTTTCACCATTCCAATTTACAATCACACGTCTGTGAACAGAGTTCCTGTAATTATAGAAATGCTTAAAGTATATGAAATCACAGCTACTTATAGATACTGTAATGACGTCATCAAACACTTAGTTTTAGTGGAATTGTAAGAACCACAGACGTCTGATTGAAAATTGGGATTGGTGTAAATTGATGTTATCAGTGTCCCTGATACACATACAAATTTTAGAAAACCTCTTAACAATCCCTTAACCATAACATGTAAATATGCTATTAATTTGAGTTTTGTTAAATTTAGGACACTTGCGATGAGTTAAATTTATCCGTGGATTGACAGCAATATAGACTGTACTTAAAGGGATTGTAAAGAGGTCATTTAACACTTAGTTTTAGTGAAATTCTCTTATTGAAAATTGGAATTGTGTTAATTGATGCTATCAGTGTCCATGATGCAGTTAAAAAAATTGAGAAAACCTCTTAACAATTCCTTTAAATTATGTTAACTAGTGTTAAATATTTTATTTTTTCTATGCTATATATTAAGTTAAAGGGATTAACAGGAGATTCTGTAGCCTTTGTATGTGTAACAGTAACATTTATGTTACTTATCTTTGTCAGTGCTTGTCAGAAAGTTATTATGAAGAGCAAACTCATTACAGAAGAGATGGTCTTGCATGGGCATCATCATACTTTGGCCATTTTTGTCTGGAATTACAGAAACCACAGAAATTGGAAATTAAAATGGTGTAAATAGCAGATTAAATTGTCTCTGATAGATATACAAAGGCTAGAAAATCTCTTGTGAATCCCTTTGCTATAAAGTTGTATATAATTATGGGTGACCTATTATTATTATTATTATTTAATTAAAATGATTTAACTCTGTTATCATTATAAAATTATCAGCAGCTTTTTGGTGGGAAATGACGTCTGCATCTTGGTCTATGTGTCTCCAAAATTTTTTTTCACAAGTTGATCAAAATTGTCATTTCTTTTGGAGAAATGTAAGGACTTATTCCCTAAAAACTTAATTTTAGATGATTTTTTATTTCAGTCGTCTGATTGGTCAATCACTAATATAAAATTGATTTAAGATTTAGTTTTCTTATTCAATCAAATGACTGTATTTCTCAAGGTAAGTTTTTGTGAATAAGGTTATCTTTCTGACTTTTTCAGATGTTTAATTTCTTAATTAGTTGTCACTTCAAAGACAGAACTTGCCCGCCATCTTCACAATGTCAGGATATTACAAACTACATCTTATACCTTGACATGTGAAGATGTTAGCCTGGTTGTCTTAATTTGGTGTCTAAATTCAGGCGTCATTTCATACCCAAAAGCTGCTCATAGAAAATGTTATATATTATAAATAACAATGTGTATAATTTCATCCAATCACCAGCTGCGATTAAATTAACTTCTGCACTATCATACTTAGTTACCATGGCAACAGATTTGTCAAGATTGACTTTTGTAAAGTATAGCTTATTAGCCTAATGAAATATTGAGATAAAGCCTAACATCAGTGGTCCCGTTTCGCAAAAAATCAAATGATTAATTTTGTAGTAAGTAGGGCTTGTGGTATTTTCAATGTAAAATTCCACTTTTGCGACAAATTCTTGTTGTAAGATTTTTTGTGAGAAGGGCCTTGACCTGATTAATATATGCTGGACCATTCTAACATTGCAGACCCTGTTTTAAATAGGACCCTTTGCAACATTGTGCCCTCTTGTTTTAAATAGGGCCCTTGCTAACATTGCAGACCCTGTTTTAAATAGGGCCCTTGCTAACATTGCAGACCCTGTTTTAAATAGGATCCTTTCCAACATTGCAGACCCTGTTTTATAAGGGGCCCTTTCGAACATTGCAGACCCTGTTTTATACAAGGGGCCCATTCTAACATTGTTGTACAAATTAGTATCGAATAACACAAAAATTATCTTTATTATTATTATTATTATTAATAAAATATATATTATGCTCTTGTAGTCTTATTTTGAAAAGAAACAGCCCCAGCCCCCCAGCCCCCATTCTATCCTTGTTTTGAATATGGAATATTTTGCTGTTTGTCTTGTGTGGAAAGAGCTATGTGCACTCTATGAAAGTTATGTCAAATTCACATACCCATGGACCAAATGAACATTATCAGTTATGCTGTCTTCCTTAGCCCACATGGTGCAGGGGATCTCGAGTGGACACACAACAATACAAATTAGGCAATTACATGTATATGCGGAATCACTCAAGAGTTAAATTCTGGCCATGTTGACTAGACTATTTGCTACTTGTACCTGGATTTTCAAAAGAGTGAGTATGCCTTGCCTCAAGAATTAACTATTTAGTGTCTAGGTAATCAAGTCTATGAATGCAGACATTTGAGTCTGGATAAAGGAGACTACGACAGGTAACAGAAATGGGTTATGTCCCTTGTACAGGTAATTTCTTTACAAGCAGACGTCCTTTCCAAATCATCTCTATTCTGCCGTCTTTCATGCAATCGCAATGCAAATTTGTTCTCTGAATGGCATAGACATGGAATAAATGAATCTAAAGTAACAATGAAGAAACTTTGAGTGGAAAAACTCGAAACAAGACAGAAACAAACTTGCAGGGAAGAGCTGTCAAATCTTTTTTTACATTCCTCTGTGGTGTAAATTTCCACACCTGTCAGTCAAAGATAGCATTCTAGAGGTATGTCATGCATTTTGGACATTTTTCACACAGGCACTGGCTAGTTTTGTTTGAAAATGGTCCTTTGAATGAGTTTTGTTGAGAAAAAAACCTAAATTAAGAAATGGGGCCTTGCCTTGCTTAATTAAAGACTGCATTACTGCCTTGATGTAGGCTAAATATTAACAGAATCCTCTTCTTAAACTTATTTGTAGAATGACATCAGTTGTTCAAGAAAAGAAGGCATGCAAGCAACACATGCCAAATTTTTCATTGTGGTGCGCAATACATTTGCCCCATTTGTATCAGTACCACTTAGACATAGACTCTGTCTCCAGAGATAACATTTAGGCCTACTGGCACTATTGCAATTTATTGATTTAGGAAAGGGGTCATAAATACAGCAATGAGCTGAGAAGGGGACATGGTGGTACACTGTCAGTAAGTGATATTGTTATTGAATATTTCTAGGTGCGAAATGGAGGAGAATGGATTAGACTATGACTATCACTACAGTCCATCACGATGGTCTCATAGACTCAGCCCTGACGATGTTATAGATTCACATATCAAAACTGTAAAGGAAGGTACGTATTCTACCCACAGCAGGCCCGTAGCTTAAGGGCCCCGTATTTGGCCCCGTACCGTACCAGTAAACTGTCAAGAAATATTTATGCATATAAAGCCAATAATGAAAAAACAGGTCCTATGTGACATGCCTACATTGGTAAAATATTATATCACTAGAACAGGACTGCAGTAAAAAACTCGTAAGATCACTATGGAGAATCAAAGTTGTAATGAAATTGTAATTTTTTAGGGGTAATTGGATGTAATTGAATTCCTTACCCTCAAGGATTTTACTTTCAATTTTGAATATTTGAAGGTACCAGAACAGCTAAATGGAGTCTAGAGGTAGAAACAGATATCAGCTATGGTCCAACACCGTTTCAAAAACTAGATGTGTACATAGACAAAAAAACTTCCAAAAAAGGCAGTCCAATTTTGATTTTTATCCATGGTGGTTACTGGCAAGATTTAAGGTTAGTAAAAGGTGGTTTTATATTTGGAAATTGCTAATGCCACTGTCTTTAAAGATTTCCTTATTGCATACATCTTCATTAGTCCTAACTTGAGATGAAAAGTAGGATGTAAAACATATTTCAGTTTATTTTAAGATATAAACGCTATGTAACAACTCTGTGTCAACTGCTTTGAAAGCACTGGCAGTACATGCTTAAGAGTAGATTTGTAGATCAAAGGCAACTGATAATTCTTGATAGTTGCCTTAGTAGGAAATGGGCACAGATAAACTGGGCTAGAGGTTTGGCCATGGATGAGCTGGAATGAAGTTTAAAATGTTTATATTTTATTTCAGTCGAGAGATGTCTGGGTATTTAGCCCCACCTCTATGCCACGCAGGAGCGACAGTTATACCAGTCGGGTACGATCTGGCTCCCTCAGGTTAGTTACCCTTACTATAACCCTTTGAGCACTGATTGTCAATGAATTAAAACAATTCCAAAACTCTGAACTCTGTAATATGACTTTGAGGGGTTAAACAATTTATTATAAAACAAAAAAAAAAGACATAAGCATAGAATTAACCTTGTCAAATACAAAATACTTGCTAAAAACCACTCATAAGTTTTCGACATATATCACAGAAAGAAGTAACAAATTTTTTTGTACAGGATAATGACAGAGGATGAGTTTTTACAGAGTTTAAAAAACCTGAGAAAGAAGTTGTCTGACAATTTATTTTTGTTCTGTTTCAGTCAGTATGGATGAAATTGTGTCTCAGATAAAACGAGCTGTGGCCTTTATTTTTAAACTTGCCAAAGAAAGACAATCTAGGTAATTAAGTGTTTCATTAATTACTGCTGTAATTTGTAAATCACAGAATGTTGGAGAACTCAGAGTTTTTAAAACTGAAATAAGAATGAAAGGAGTCTTGATTGGGTCTATTTATCTTTTAAAGTGATTGTCAAGAGGTTTTCTAAAATTTTATGTGTATTGGGAACACTGATGCCATCAATTTGCACCATTCTAATTTTCAATCAGACGTCTGTGGTGCATGAAATTCCACTAAAATTAAGTGCATTATTTATGTGGTATATATCTATGTGGACACTCTGCTAGAGCCCAACTAACCCCTCCCCTCCCCTTCCCACCGTGAATTCTGACCCACCCTAATTACTGTCTATATTTTCAGTGGTATATATCTATGTGGACATTCTGCTGGAGCTCAACTAGCTGCCATCATGTTGACATCAGAGTTTGGTGAAGATGATGCCTTCGATTGTGAATTAATAAAAGGTAAAAAAGAAATAATATATCACTGTTAGAGATTAGGGTGGTTGAAAAGAAACCAGTTACTATTGATAAGCAACTAGTCACTATTCCACAGAAGGCACTGGCATAGGGGTGTAGTACAGGTACAGGTTCGTTCCAAAGGTGGAAATAGACCAGGCACTTGCAGGGATTATTGAAACAGAATATAGAAGACGTGAATACATGAGTTATCAGATCATTAAAGAGATGTTTTGTCTGTTTTAGGTGCCTTATTAGTGAGTGGTGTGTACGACCTTCGACCTCTGGTGTCAACTTACATCAATGAACCCCTTAAACTAACAAGGTAGGTCAATGAATCTGAGCTGACTCTTAACATGTATACAAAAATCAAATAAAGGCAATAGTAGGGGAGTGTATTTGTGGTTTGAAAAGTTGACAGAATTGTGTTTTAGAATTCTGTGAAACTTTTAAGGAATAACCTAAGTAGTTGGAACTTGAATTTGCCGCCAGTAGTCAATCCTTTCAAAATAATATTTCAACTTCGACTACAATTTGCTAATAAATAAATATGAATTGATCAAGTTCCAATTACCGTAACCAAACGAAATGACGATAGTTTATTTTGAAGTGATATTTCCAGTCCTGGCCCCGTATTCTGGAAACGATCTTAGCGTTAGGATGTCCTAGAATCAATGTTAGATAATAAGAACCTAGGATGACCTAGAATCAATGTTAGATAATAAGAACCTAGGATATCCTAGAATCAATGTTAGAAAATAAGAACCTAGGATATCCTAGAATCAATGTTAGATAATAAGAACTTAGGATGTCCTAGAATCAATGTTAGATAATAAGAACCTAGGATATCCTAGAATCAATGTTAGATAATAAGAACCTAGGATATCCTAGAATCAATGTTAGAAGATAAGAACCTAGGATATCCTAGAAACAATGTTAGAAGATAAGAACCTAGGATATCCTAGAATAAATGTTAGAAGATAAGAACCTAGGATATCCTAGAAACAATGTTAGAAGATAAGAACCTAGGATATCCTAGAATCAATGTTAGAAGATAAGAACCTAGGATATCCTAGAATCAATGTTAGAAGATAAGAACCTAGGATATCCTAGAATCAATGTTAGATAATAAGAACCTGGGACATCCTAGAATCAATGTTAGAAGATAAGAACCTGGGATATCCTAGCGCTAAGATCTTTTCGAGAATACTGGGCATGTAAACAAATTATTATGAATATTATTTGTCTCGATATCGTTGTTGTAGCGAGGATGCATGGCGCTTTAGTCCGAGTAATTTTATATCAGAAATAGCCAATCAGAGCCGAGGACGTGAAATCTTACTGGCAGTCGGGGAATATGATCCTCCTGAATTCAGACGACAAACTGGAGAGATGGAAAAGGTAGGTGTAACTGCTCCATTTTAATTTATTAATATTTCACTAATAATAATAATAATAATAATAATAATAACTTTATTGGGATACAAATTTTGAATAATATACTCTTTCTTATAATCCTGTATAACCTCAACTCCAAGAGGTTTGGTCAAGGATAGATAGTATCCTCAGAGCTTTAAAAAATGGTTGTTTCTTTCTTTTTGTCCAATTTAGCCCTCAAAAATGTTTGTTTTATTTTTTCAGAGTTTAAGAGACAAGGGAATAAAAACCCGATATTTTGATATACCAGATACCGACCATTTTAACGTGGTGGAAAAACTACAACAGGAAAACTACACACTTACACAGGTAGGCCTTTACTGTTATATTGTATGATGGCTGTATATTCACTGATTTCCACTGTCAGTGATAGTGTTTAGTCCATTGGATGAGACAAGAAATAGAAACTCTGTGAATTATAGGCTGTGCACGTAAAGATCCTTCAAGAAAAGAATAAGCTAGCTGGGCAAAGTTTACTTCAATGCACACTGTTTATGGATATTTTTACTTGACTATACAATATAATCAACACAATAATCCAAAACAACTAAAATAGGTATGAGTTTAGGTTCCTTTATAATTTATCCTCGTTAAAACAAAATAAGGTTTCCGAGGCCCTGTGTGCTACAGACTGCGCACATTATAGATCCCTTGACAGTTGGAAATCGAAAAAAAAGAGCACGCTAATGCCACTGTTTTGATTAAACCTTCCTTATTGAACACTGCAAGGCGTTGCCAGTCTTCATTAGCCCATATGGTGCAGAAAAGAAGGACATAAAACTCCATTTCATTTCAACTCTCGTTAATGTTTTGAATCAAAGCCATATCTGTTATCACTAGAGTGTGAAATATTCTGTATCTTTTCAGGCGTTGTTACAGATGATGAAGTTAAAGAAATAAATATTTGTGAAGATTTCGTCCAATCAGCATTCCATTGTAATACTTGTGCTCAATTTTATAGGGAATTCTTATTTGTTAGATTTTGATTGGTGGAGGAATTTTATTTCGACCAATTAGATAACTCGAATAATTTAATCTTAAATGCTGTCCTATACTCCATGGTGGAACTCGATTGATGAGTTCTGAACAGGTTCTGTTTGTTCCAATTCAGGTTTCAATCGAACGGTACAGAACCAGATATATCATATTAAAAAATGTTCCCATCTATTTCATTCTCCACCATTTTGAATTCTGTCTGCACCTACTATTTTTTTGGCACATGTGGAACGCATTTAAACACTGTTCCAAATTAATTTTACACGTATTAAAAGTCCAGGCTACGTATTCTCGAAACGATCTCAGCGCCTAGAATCAATGTTAGAAGATAAGAACCTAGGACATCCTAGAATCAATGTTAGAAGATAAGAACCTAGGATATCCTAGAATCAATGTTAGAAGAAAAGAACCTAGGATATCCTAGAATCAATGTTAGAAGATAAGAACCTAGGATATCCTAGAATCAATGTTAGAAGATAAGAACCTAGGACATCCTAGCTCTAAGATCGTTTCGAGAATACGCGGCCAGTTGATTACATGAATCCTGAAAGAGCAGAACTGGTCAATCAAGTGACCACCATAAGTAATATGATATGTTTGGAAAACAGGAGTTACAATTCACATAATAAGCTTGTAATTTCTATGGATATATTATAATTATTTTAATCAGTATTTTAAACATGTCGATTGATGATATTTTTTTATTTTGGCATTTATAATTAAGATCACAATTTTATGATTTTCTTTCCAAATGTTGTTAATTTACAATTTATTTATAATTGGGAGCATAATCCAATATATTTTATATGCCTGTAGCATCATAATTTCCTCGCGTCAAAACAAGGGGGCTTAATGGACTGTTAAAAGCTTATTTTCAATTCTTTGAAGAGAAATTGGCCTATATTAGGTGGCAAGGAATATATTAAGATGATTTTATCATTTAAAGCTTATATTTTTTATCATATTATTACTGGTTATATTAAAACAGAACCTGAAACATGTTGTTACTCAATTATCCACTCTATGCGACATTCAGACAACTCTCTTGAGTTATAAAAATAGTAAAACAGAACCTGAAACATGTTACTTAGAGTTTCATGCTATGCTATCTTCAGACAACTGACCTATTTCAGCCTGTGTCCCTATTGAAGTTTGCTAGTTATATTTATTTTAATGCACAAACTGTCAAGTTTCCAATCCTTACAAAATAATCTTCTAACTGACAAATGTTTTGTAAAGATAGCACACACTTGGATCCGGTGAGTGCATGCTTGCATGAAAAAGGTGTTTTGTTAAAAAATGGTTAAAATCCACCACCTCATACCAAGCTATTTGGATAAAGTGAACCACAGTCTTATCTATTCAATGATAAGGGGCAATGAAGGAAGAAAGAAGATGGTAGTTTTTTTGACAATATTTATTTAACAAATGAAATGACAGGAAAGACGATGTACAAACTTGTTACAAAATAACCACCATAAATAATCAATATTATTTTACATTTACACTATCTACACTAGCTTGCCCCTCCCTTCCCCCTGCCCTCAATCTTTACGATTCAGAAACATCACAAAAAACCAGGGTTCTACCCCCTCCAATTCGGAAAAACTCGCTTCTAATTTTGCAATTATCACAGTCCCACCCTTACAATTTAAACAATCCCCTCCCTTATAATTTTCTAAAATAATCATGCCCATATCCAATTTAGAACTGTCCGCTAGATTCAAATTTTGCAATCTTCGTCCCCCTACAAATTAGAACAGTCCCCTTCTACAATTTTGCAGTCATCATGCCCCCTCCAATCTAGAACTTCAGTATGCCCTCTTCCATTCCCTCTGTAAAATTATTAAGCCAATTCCCTCTACAATTTAGATCTGTCCCCTCACTTCCAATTCGCATTATCAAGTCTGATTATATTATATGTCCAAATTTAGAATAAGCATGACACAATTCAGCTTCTCCCTTTCAATTTAGAAACATTCCCCCTCCCTTCGTGTCACAATTTATAGGTATTGAAACTTTGCTGTTTCAAAATTTATATTTTCTAGAGTTAACCTATCATCAATGCCAGAAATTGACCTCTTAGTACAGCAAATATTTAGACGTCTATATCTATATTATTTTAATGTGCCCCGGATTGAAAACAGAATCTAAATTGAGGCTATCCAAATCATGAAGTTGTTAACCATTAATTGTTAATTAATCATTAATTAGGAGTAAAAATCGAAGGAATGCTGAGGTTCCGAGGTATCTTCAGACGTCATCGTTGACGCTACAATGGTTGATGTTGCTGCTATTTGATTGGTTGCTGTTGATTGATTTGATGTCTTGATTGACGTTCCAACGGCACCAGCTATGTCATTTAGTTCGTGTTTTACTGGAGGAGTAATTTTCACTCTGGAGCCTGGAAGATAAAAATATTTTGAGTTATAGAGCTTCCAGCAGGTGGACAGGATCAAGTTATTATCCTTGTAAAAGTTGGGTTTTAGTTTTGAAGCAACCCAGGAGGGAAGATAAAATTTGATTGAAATATCAGCTAGCCATCTTGCCCAGTTGTCTCACCTAGTTTCTGATATGCAATCCATTATCAAGACAGCCAGCTTGTTTGGAACTAGAGTGCCAATTTCTGTGCCACCTCAAATATCAGCCAGCCATCTTACCTTGTTTCTGATAGAAGAGAACGTAGCCACTGCTGTATTCATCATGTTTAGGAGTTTGTTTGGTGACCGTCTCGTCGTTATAGTAAAACCATTCCTGATAGATCGGGTGTTTAGAGTAGGCTGTATAGTGGCCAGAGTTAGAGCCTGAATAAACAGGAATTGTATTAGAAAAATGGTTGAGGTTTGCCAAAGAACCAGCTTATCCCACAGAACCCTTGCAGAATTAATGCTTGAAAAAACGTAAAAGGAAATATTTCAGAAGCAAAATAAACTCACCCCCAAAATGGCAGACGACACTATAGAGATCATACTGTAGATCAGTATTTTTAGGTCCGGACAAGAAATCTGTTAAATCCAGATTTTTCTGGGGAAATATCACAGGATTATCTATTTTAGTACTAGAAAATTCATGAAAGACAAATCTGGAAAAAAAACAGGAAAATTATTGACATGGTTTCTACTTTCATTGACTGAAGCTGATCACCTGTTACTGACACGTGTTTCAGATACACAATCCTTATCAGGACAGTTGGATATAACATTTCAATATAAGACAATGTTAGCTAATTGAACAGAGCTCATCTGCTGATATGTGTTTCAGATACACAATCCTCATCAGGACAGCTAGTTTTAGAAATAGAGGTCAACCTGAAGATGTTTAGGTTGAGACCCTTCCCCAAGTAAACAGTCAATGGAGTTGATGCCTTTTCTTAATCAAAATTGACGGCATATTAAGAGAAATGATTAAGAAAAGAAATAGTACCGTTTAAGATGAACTATAAGAGTATCAGGGTAGCGCCAGACTGTCATTCTCTTGTTAGCACATTGGTTTTTACGACACTGGGGACAGTACCAGGGATTCTGTTCATCCAACACCTCGCTAGAAAATCAGAAAACATTGTTTAGTCAAAATTACATCCTCGCTAGAAAACAGACAAAATCATAGTTCAAATTACATCATACTCGAACACATCAAGACGGCAAGAGTCTAGATATTGGACAAGCTAATTAAAATAGATATTATTGTATTTATTTTTTTCTCTGATTCTTTTCATCTACATTGTAATCTAACAAGTTTTCTAACACAGTCGCATTCTAATGTATATATTTTAAACCAATCAAATCTTGATATTGAAACAGAAAGTAGATTTGGCTTAAAAACTTTGATTCTTACCATTGAGTAAAGGCAGTAAAACAGTCGTAAATAGTTGTAGGTTCGTCAGGTCGGAGGTCATTCATGGTCACATGATCAATCAATGATTCCACGATCTGATCGAGCTCTTCGATCTCGACAGCGAGGTGGTCACCTGGTTGTAGAGTTATTTCCCCTTCTCGACTCATTACACATCCTTTACAATGATCAGTGTACTGACATCGGGAACAGTGTTTACCCTGAAATAATTCAAAATGGAGTTTTACATCCTGATTTTTAATCCAGATAAATGGGGTTAACAAATCTAAGGGTATCATCTCAACATATGCTGTACTATCTTAAAGAGCAAACATCTTAACTTACAGAGCCCTCCATGCTCAGTGTAATATCTTTCAGCAAAGACTTGTTCAGGGTACCAAATAAACTCATATCCTCTGCTTTCAGTGCAATATCTTCTAGCAAAAATTTCCTGATGCAAATAAAAGAAGAAGTACGAACCTGTCCGTCTGTGAGTAGAACGGAATACACCAATCCAGGTGGCAGCACTGTATTGACAATACTATATAAAGATTGTCCTGTCACCTGACTGGGTAGATAGACTATATTCGGGTGATTAAATAACGTAGCTTCTCCGTCTTTTAGGTATCTCTGACACACAGGAATGGCAAGAATCCTGAAATATTTTACATGGACATTTTCAAAAGATATTTGGGAAAATATGTTTATTTGGTAGAAAAAAACAACAAATTTTTACAAGGAGAACAACTTGAGTTCAGGTAGGGTCCTTTCTACCAGCTGATCCTGGGCCAATCCTTGGCTTTGATCTTTCCCAGATTATTTTACCCATTTACAGCTGAGTCGACTGGAATAACAAGGAAAGATGACTTCCATATGCTGACTCACTGTATACTGTTTTCTGATTTTCTGATTCAATTTTAAAATCAGTATGTCCCTACCTTGAAAGAGGTTTTTGTCCATTTGAGCTTGTTAATGGTAAAAAATCTTCACATTTATTGGCTGGTGACTGACAAGTCTGAAAATTGAATCGAAATATTTTAAATTTCTAAATTTCAATTTTGTATTGCTTTAAGTAGCATTCAAAATTCAATGAACAGATTGAGATAAAACTCTGTCCTTTTTAGTTCAGATTCAATTAAAAAAGTTCAGTAAAATTTTAAAAGATTTTAAAGCAACAAATGAATCAAATTAAATAATGTCTTACACCCTACTTTTCTGCTCCCAATTGGGCTAATGAAGATAGGCAACACCATGCAGTGTGCAATTGTGAAGGAAGCAGTAATGTGTATATATTTAAAACACATATAAATAAAACTTACAGGACAGCAATGAACATTATCACTACTATGTTTCATCGACATCTGAAATAAACAAATTAATCATTAATAACCCCATTGACATGTCAATCAAATAGGTGCATATATCAATCAATCCTTTAAGCCCCTCCCACTTTTAACATGCATGCACCCATATATATCTAAATATGTCAATCAATTCTTTAGACCCCTTCCCATCATTAAAGGCACACTATCATTTTAGCATGTCAATCAATCCTAAAGCCCCTCCCACTACTCACCTCCAAGCAGTTATCACAGAAAGTTCCACCACAGGAACTATGGATCAACAGAGCATTGTCTGCGTACTCCTCTAAACAAATAGCACATGATTTCCATTGGTCTGCGATACCACACATACTTGTAGCTCCGTCACCAGGCGTCGCTGTCGAGAAATTGACAGGGCTGGACCGAGGGGCGGGGCCAATAGGCTGATCATAGATATTGTCAGACCAGGACGGTCCTGGTAGAGGGTTGATACGTTCATCATGAGATGTCCATTCCCACATTCCAGTCCCTGAAGGAATATAAATTGAAGAAGACTAATTCAAGGTCACCAGACTTTCATATGCCTACAAAGATTAGAACCCACAACCACCATTTAATCGACATAACCAAGTAAATGACAAAATTGATCGACTTTGACGAATTATAAAAATATTTACCGGCAGTGTCTGGCGCAGAAATGAACCCTGATTGGCCAATTGACAAATCAGTACTCGATTCTGATTTGCTGCTGAAAGATCTGTGCCTTGATTGGTCAAATGTGTTGGGAGAAAACGTTCCCATTGCACTAAAAATATCTCCAGGTTCGCTGGCGATTGGTGGTATGGAATAATCTGAATCCTGATTGGCTGAAACTACTGTGGTTTCCATGGCAACTGTAGTGGGAGGTAACTCTGGTAATTTCTCAGGTGTCATCATCTCAAAGGCGTAGATTTTTCTTGTCGAGTCGTTCACATATCGCAGCAAAATATTGTCATCCTGAAGAAAACATTTAAATTCCTCAGAAAAATTGAGAAGGAGGAAGCTAGTTCTAATTGAGTTCCTGGTTAGCAGGAAAGCGTCTTACTCATTGAACCACAATGGCTTCCAGTTTTGAATCAAGAAATGAAGAAACTCACCAGTAAGCGTGAGATGTGACAATCCAAGACTTCAGCTATGATGATATCACCGTCAGGTAGACTGGTCAGATCTTTAATTTGTTTCCGTAGTTTAGCCACGTTGTCTGTTTTAAACATGTTTAACAGATATCGAGTTGGAGGGTAGTCTGGTCGCATTATTATCACACCTGCAAAAAATTATGAAATGAATGGAGTTTTACATCCTACTTTTCTGCACATTATGGGCTAATGAAGACAGGCAGACTCCATGCAGTGTGCAATGAGGAAAATTTTGTCATGACAGCGGCATTAGCCTGCTCTTTTTCCATTTACAACTGTCAAGGGATCTTTCATGTGCACAGCCTGTAGCACACAGCGCCTTGGTTTAATGTCCCATCCGATAACTAGATTTCAGTAGCTGACTAACACTCATCGACAAAAATAAGGGCTAGTTTTAGAGATAAATTAGGGCAGGATTAGACATTTAAATGGATTTGACACTAAAGTAACTTACAAAAATATATAAACTCGCCTCGTTATGGGATGCTAAGGAAAACATAGCATGACCCTTAACCACAAGTGCATTGTCATTTTAGTTGCATGTTTTTTGATTTGTTAAATCAAAGTTAATTAAAGATAGCTGATATACTTACATATTTGTCGTTCTAAGGCTCTAGGTATAGGTAAAGATAAATACATGAACGGTTCAAATGTCACTGAGATATGGCTACACTCGGAACACACAATCTACAAATATAAAAATATAAGAGGTTTTTGATACAATTTTTGAAAGCACTGCTGAAAAGTTTTATCTAGTTGGAGAATTTTGTGCTTTCTCCTCTCTGAGGCGTTCGTTTGGATGCCGTGAAAAACGTCATATAACTCTCACTGCAAAAATGTCATGCGATCGCCAGTCGCCAGCTAAGCCAAGACATTTTAGGAGGAAGCAGAAAATATACATATATTTTATATAGATTCTAAAACTCCTGAAAAATCTTTTTCTTACAGTGCTCTTGAACTGTCCTTGAAATGAGTTAACGACCACACTGTTATTTTCTGTGATATAGTCATCCCAGGCTTTATCAGCTTCCAGTTCGTCATTCTCGCTATAGCTCTCTAACACTGGAGGTACAGAAGGTATATCATCAACAGTCGAACTTCGTGATGTCACTTCCCCTTCCTCATCTGAACTTTCACCTTCGACCTCCATCAGACTATCAGGGGTCGCCGACCTTCGTGACAAGTCGTCTCTGATGTTTGATTTATTTTTACGGAATTTCTGCATCGCCTCCATTTGGACATTTTTCTCTGCCTCGTTCTGATCAATCTTAAATCTTTTTATATCGCTATAAACCTCTTCTTCACATAACGGAAGATTTTTGGCGCATGCAGTGCGAGACTTTTTATCTGCACGTACATTCGTATCCTTGAGACCGAACCCATCGCATTTTTCAGACTTTTCTTCTTCTTCCGTTTCCACTTCCTCCAAAACATTGACCTGTGTCTCAGTCCGTGAGCGATTATCCATTTTTGCAAATTTGTCCGAATCTATGTTCACGTTGTTCAGAACATCGTCAATGAGCATGTTCGTGTTCAAAGTTTTACAATCTTTCGAGTAATATTCTTCCAAACTAGCCAATGACGTTATTCGAGTATTATTCAGCTTTACTTCAACGTTCTTATTCGGGCTATTTGATTGGATGATATTTTTAGTATCGATCTCGCGATTGTCTGATGTATGCGTTGCACTAGATTTGGACGGCGACGTGTTATTCTGAGCAATAGCAGATTGAGTAGTTGTCATGGTATCAGCACTTGTTTCTATAGCAACCATATCTAGTTCAGGTTCCACAGCATTGGCGCTATTTTCAGTTTTGATGTTCAAAGTGGTGAAAGTATTGGCGTGTTCTGAGTCCGAACTATGTAAGGAGACAGTTGATTGGTTGCTATCCTCTGACAGTAGCGATATGTTGCTAATAGTAACCGTACTGCTTCCTGTCGAATCTGAGTCTTTTTCGTTCATCACAGCTTGCTTGGAATTAATTTTACCTTCTCGAATCTCCGGTTCGACAAAGATCGAATCTGATTGGTCCAGACTCGTTTGTATCACATTATTTGATTGGCTAGTATCCATGGACTCTGATTGGTTAGTATTTATAGCACCTGACCAATGAGAAGGTTTGTTATTCAGATGACTAGAGAGATCAGTTGAGCATTGTGTCAAAGATTCTGATTGGCTGAGATGTGTTTCATCAGTTTGTAAAGATGCCTTTGATTGGTCAGTTATGGCTGAATGCTTGGATGTCATCAACAGTTGTTCATGGAGAGAATCCAAAAGTAGAGCCAAAAATTCTTGACAATCATGCTGTAACAGAAAAAAAAAACAGTTTATTAGAGATAAAATGGTGCTTTACATCCTAGTTTTCTGCACCTGATTATGTTAATGACAGACACCTGCAGTGTGGAATGAGGAGAATTTTGTCAGAGGCATTTGCCTACTCTTTCCAACTATAAAGGGATCTTTTGGGTTACGTCATGAAACACTTAGAGTGTAATTACAAGAACCACAGAAAATTGGAATGGGGCAAATAGATGCTATAAGTTTCCCTGTTAACTCGATTTACATTAAAAGTTAAGTGAAAAATCCCTTTAAATGGCAAAACATAGAATTATTACAATGCCCAGGATTTTGGGATCAGTTCAAATTTGAGGATATTTCAACAAAATCCTGGAAATGGTACTTAAATGGCAAAAGAACGTAAAAAAAAACATTCTTCCTACCTGTCTATAATCTTGAAACTGATTGTGATATAAACTAAGTGTATCTTTAAAATCTCTGGGGTATATCACTGAATATTCTCCCGACCAAATCTTCATAACTAGTGTCTTAAACCTTCCTAATAACGTGTCTTGTAGTTCCGGACTTATGACTAGTGCTTCCAGGCAGAATTTCACCAGCTGGTCTGAAGCTAGCAGACTCTGTAGCCCTGAGTTCATGAAACATGTATTTCCTAAGTTATACAGCCCACAATTTCCTGGTAGAGATGTTGCATCTGAAACAACATTACAAAGATTATTTTAAACAAGCTTGAACACGATTATCATGAATTTATCAGTGTGTAATAATTCCACCAGCATGAAAGCAATGACAGTTTGTCAGCAGAATGTAATTCATCTATTCAAGGAAAACAACAAAATAAGATAGTGTTTTACCTTGTTTCCAACCGGAAGAATGTAATGAAGAAAGACAACTCCATGCAGTGTCCAATCAGGACAACTTTGCAATGAAAGCAGTGATAGACTAGTCTAACCAGTGACCAATTAACCGAAAGTTTTGCTGGCAGTAACTGTAACTGCAAAACTTTGTAGTGTGCAATAGGGGAAACTATCAAGAACATCTCTGAAGATTAGACAATACTATGCAATGTGCAATGAGGAAAATTAAAGTCTTACCTTTGACATCTTTAGAGTAAACATGTTCTGTAATTTCAGTAGAATAGGAAATTTGTAGTGGACCTGGAAAGCTACACGTCGCTGAAAAATAAACAAATTTTTTGTTCACTAAACTAGCTGTCCTGATGAAGATTGTGTATCCAAGACATGTCTTGACAGTATGAGATGAGCTATAGTCAATTGCTAACATTAAGACCACATATTGGAAAGTAAACCCCAAGAAATGAGCTCTAGTACATGTAGAGTAAGAGTAAGTGGTGAGTGCTAGTTCTCTTCTTACTAGCTAGAGACACAAGAAAGCACTGGCTGAGGTGCCAGAAATATGACTACAACATAACTACACTTAATGGAGATTGATACCAGGTGACTGTTTAAACTAGTAATTTGGAGTAAATAAAGGCAGACTATTACCTGAAGGAGCATCAGTTAAAGTGGCTGAAGCTTCACTGAATGTTGTCTTGTTAGAGGTGGAGGCTTCTAAAACAGAAATGAAATAAAACAGATTATAGGTGTATTGATTTGATATCAATTCAACACATTTTCAGACAAACTACCATGTAAGTTTAACGACCACCAAGGTTTTAGATTTACTTAATTTGCCAGTACTGCACTGATAATTGGACTTTATTTATCATTCATGACTGACCGTTCAAAAAAAGATATGGTCCTATTTTGTGGTATTTCTCAAAGTAAAATTCAACTCTAGCAACAGTTACTTGTTGTCAGATTTTTGTTAAATTTGGCGATCAGTCCTGGTTATCGTTATCACCAGCATCAAACTTACCTGACTCCTTGTAAGTTGGAAGAGAAATGGCAGAAATAGTCTGAGAATAGTTGGATGTATCTGGTGGACTCATTTTCTCATCAGCCATTACTCAAACCCACGTCTGCTTCTTGTTGTTGATTGATGTACTGGTGTGGTTGAATATTATATCCTTATAAAGGACTTTTAGTTCTCATCTGAAAACAAAATCAAGCTCATAAGTAAAAATTAAGTTTGAAGTTCTAGTTTGCCATGTGGTAGGCCTAGATGGAAATCACATTACTGTACCTTTGTTTCTGTTTTACTGCAGAGTGTTTCACATAATGGCCTGTCTAATATTTAATGAGTTGGCCTAATTTTAGAGATGTCATCAGCAATGTCACTTATGCCAACTTGTGTGTGGCATTGTCAAAAATGAAATGCTACAATTCTGAAACTGCAATGGATGTGGTATCATTTGAAGCTACTCCTTTCTGCAACGTGATTTTCACAAATTGATCAAGAAATAAAATATTTCCTCAAATTTCTACTGCAATGTCTGACAAATCGAAACTGAAACTTGAGACAAAAGAAGTCACATAAACAGAAGACTATGTCGTAGAAGGAAAAATAAACAAAATTCCCCAGCCTGAAAAAGGGCGAGTACATGTAATAAATTAGGCCGACAAAATGACGTCTGCTCTCAATTTTGGATCTGATTTTCTAGAGAAGACATTTATCAACATATCTGGCTTAATTGATCGTCAATCGGTGAAGGATTTTCATACAATTTTACTAATTTTACCTATTTTGGTCGGCAACATCTTTTCTGGGCAGACATTTTTCAGACATGCTCAGTGAATGACTTCCTGGTTGGCTGAAGGTCAGAGGGTCAAGGCTGTTTATTGACCTCTTTACTTTCATTTTAGCAAACCACATTGTGAGTTGTGAATTTGTAACATTTTATCAAAATTTTCAATATTTTGATCAATATTACAGGCTGTAAAGGCTGTTTTCATCTTCATTTTGTTGAAAGGCTTTGATTTGAAATGATAGACTTTTGAAATTTGTTCAAATATGTTTGAAAATGGCTTAAGTTATATTTAAGTAAAAGGTGAAGAAGATTTGTATGCCATTTTTACCCTTTTTTTGACTATAATCCAATTTTCTCTTTTAATATATTGTTAGTCAGAAGAAAGAAGATGGATATTTTACGGCCCGCAGTTATATGGATTGGTAATAGATGTTATAGAAAAAATCCCATCAAAAACGACAAGGGTGAGATCGAAAATGAAGGAGGCAACTATGATGAGGAAGAATTCGGTAATTTCTTTAAATTTCTTAATGGTTCAATTTTTGTGTGTTTCTGGTCCCTAACAAAGCTGGATATAATTTAAAGGCTGTACCAAACACCCTTAATATTACCAATGAGCTCTTCCAAACATAAGATCACACTGTTTTATAATATAGAAAGTATTGCATGTGTGGAACAGTTCAATAAAAAATCGAGGGGTGCCAAATATGACAGGCAATGATTTTTTTCATATTATCTGTACCCCTGAATTTTATCATTTTTGTTTAGAAATGGAAGATGATAGTTGCTATAACGACGAAGTCTGTGATCCATTTACTAAAATAGAGCAGACGGAATCTGGGTACCGAGTTGCCTTGGACATTCCCAGTGCCTATTTTAAATTTATAATCGGAAAGAAAGGGGAAACTAAGAATAGGCTGGAACATGAGACGAAGACACAGATTCGAATTCCCAAACAAGGCATGGAGGGTGAAGTCGGTAAGTTAATCACATTGTTTGGTCAAAATTCTTTAGTTGACCATCATTTGAGCTCCCAAAACCACAAACCATTATTTTTGATGTGTCATTTGATCCTTTAGGTGATAAGAGTTGGCATTAGACTAGCAGCTGAGTCCAAAATTGTCCTTAAAACTCCCAGGACACAAGTCAAAATTCAATGTCTTTTGATCCACCTAGAAAGTGATAGGATGTCCTGGATTACAACACACAAACTTTTTAATATATTTATTGTTTGAGTTATTATCTTCTTGTCTATTCTGTCATCTTTGCCAGTGACATTTTATCTTGATTTTGGTTAATGGTTAAAACTGATATGTTGGTTTAAATACTTTATTTAGATGCAGTAGGACTAACACCTTTATTTTATTTTATTTCAGTAATAATGGGAAGAGATAAGAAGGGTGTGGTATCAGCTAAAACTCGTATTGACGTTCTGGTTAACTCGGCACGTAATAAACAACAATTTACTCATTTCTTATCAATACCAGTTGTATCGGACGCTGTGATTGGTGGATTTGAAGATTTTAAAATCGATGTCTTAAGAGAATGTGATGGGGTTCGTTTTTTTTTTCAGCTTATTTATTTATGATCAATTTTTATGACTTTACAATTGGTTATGGATAATCTAAAAATATTATTGCTAAACAGTTATGCCAGGGACCTAATTTGTTAATTCTGCAATATGATTGTTTTCTGTTGTTTTTTTTTGGTTGTAACCAGATGAAATCTATGTACATGATATGACCCATCACAGTACTGAAAACAAGTCAGATTCAATTATCTATATTTTCCGATAATTCTGTGGTGCTGTCGTCAAATTTTATGATTTTTTTTTCCAGGATAGAGGATTAGATGCCACAATATTCCAGAACCCTAAAAAACTTCACATGACAATCGGAACGATGGCGTTACTGAATGAAAGGGAGATAAACCAGGCTGTAGTTTTATTGCAGCAATGTCAACAGGATCTTATAGAGTAGGTATTCCTGTCAAAATGTTTTTTCTAATTATCCTTTTGAGGTGTTATGTCAGTTGTAATAGCTTTACATTGTTAAGAAGGTGACCCTGATATACATACAATGTGTAAAGCAGTGGTTCCCACCTATTTCAGCCTTCACTCCCCTGGAGCAATCACGTGCACCTTTCACACCCTCAAAATTTGTTTCATCAACATTTTCAACATTTGTTGATGTAAGGTGCTCTCTCAATTCAAAACAAATTCTTCTCCTACACCAATTGGCCACACCCCTGACACCTTAGTCCCACACCCCAGGGGGTGAAAACACCCCAGGTTGGGAACCAAGGGTGTAGAGAAAATCCTTAGAAACCCTTTATTGTACATAATCATGGGTTTGATATTGTGTGTTTTTAACTGATATATATGTGTTTTGTTGTTTCTATTATAGACCAATATTAAAAGGGAAGCCAATCAAATTAACAGTGGAAGGTTTAGAATATATGAATGATGATCCTAACTCTGTTGATGTTTTATACGCTAAATTACAGGGAGACGATTTAGATAGGTTTGTAACTTTTCCTTTTTGTATTTGTACTTTGTAGGTTTGTTCTTTGTTTAACAGACCCCGAAATGAAATACTGGGGAGACAAATTAGACAGATTGACAGCAGTGCCTAAAATTGGGGGTAAAATTTAGAAGAAATCTGACTTATGGGGGAACTGTCAGGGTTAAGATTCCAAATACAAAAGCAAAGTAAAAGTGCCTTAGGTTGGACCCTTCCAAACTTGGAAAAATATAATTGAACTTTGTGTATTCTTACTCATATTTTGGGGCAAAAGCGCACAAAATTAAATGTGCATGTTTTTGTCAAAAGTTATGAGTTTGATAATTTTTTCATGCTTTTAAAAAATCAAAAAAAAGAATGTGTAAATTCCTACCAAAGATGTTCAACTCCATTTTATATTTCAGATTACAGAATTTGGTAGACAGAATAGCTGATAAATTCACCTCAGCTAATATCATGCAGAGAGAGTATGAACGCATCAAACTTCATATTACAGTGATGAACACCCTAATGAGGAAAGACCCCACCGGTGCTTCTGTGGCCAGACGACAACCTTATAAGGACAGGGAATCATTTGATGCTACTTCAGTTTTAAAGGTAGGCCTTATTGAGTATTTTATCTCTTAGACAATATTGACGATCAATTTTCGTACAGAAAGCAGTCTGAAGCAGATGATAGGTTTTTGAAAAAAGAACGTAATTGTTATATGTTCCTTTCAACTTTTATTAACCAATCAAATGAGCTTAAAATTCCTTTTATCGATTAGGATTCAGGTAAAGTTTTTCTAATAATTTTTACAGTTCTCTGTGTTCGTAAGGATCTTGTTATTGTCATTTTCAAATCTGATCCATTCTGTCTATTTCAGAAATTTGGTAATTATAAATTTGGGGTTCACCATTTTAACACTTTACACATATCCAATCGTTCGGCAGTAGGACAGAATGGTTATTATGAACCTACGGCTTTTATTCGGCTGCCTTGAGTGGACCATGCTGAAATTCTTTGTTCTTAGCTTGGAAACTTGATTAAAATTTCAGATGAATTTTATGCCGCTACAGTTTTCATTTCTTTACCTTGAGTGGACCATGATAGGATTCTATATTGTTTTTTGACACTTGATCTAAATTTCAAATTTGTGTAGTAGGACAAAATATTATTTACCAACTTTGGCTACCTCAATTTGGATTTTAATATGTGCTTTATAAGGACTTATGACAGACTTGCGTTCTGTTATTTGGAATATCGAAGTTCCGTTAAAAGTAACTCCTCTTGTATGAGAAGGTTGTTTTGTGTGGTTAAAATTCACTGTCTGATACAAAGCTATTTGGATAAAGTGAACAAGGGTCCATCTATTTATTGATAAAATAATTAAACAAAGATTATGATGTTGACTTTATGTTTTAATCAGATTGAATATGGAATTGACAATAATACTTAAACCTTTCCTTCAGCAGTTTGTTTGAATCACACAATATAACATAGTAAGATAAATAATTTGGCTTTAAAAGTTTGCTTACTATCAAAATCAGCAGTAGATAACCACCTTATTTTGGCCTCACCATGGCTTCAACATGTAACAGTATATCATAAATATCAAATAGCAAAATACAATGAAGAATACTTCGTACAGTTTCAACAGTTTACATTCACAATAACATTCAAATATTATACATTTTCTTAAAATATGAAATCGTTCAACTTGCAATAAAACTTTGGCTTAGTTTTTTTTTTTAAAAAAACTGGTCTTAAAATAAAATACTGAATAATTGTAATGCTGATTTAGGTTTAATCACAGATACAGTTACAATGGTTTAAAATACAATACTTATAATTCTATCACAGTTCAATTAATACTTCTACAATATCACATTAATATATACAATACTATTGGTTATTCACAGTTTTACATCCCCAAAGCCACGTCCATAACTTAAAAATTTAAGGTACATATCCCCATGGTTTAATGTTAACGGTTTTGATTTGAAAGAACTTGACTTAGCCAGTAGGACGAGCTGGTAAGGTTTCTTAGTGATCAATTAAGGTATGACACAGTTCAAGGTCATGTACTTCAAGGTCAAGGTTCAAGGTCAGTGTGAGACCTTGACCCCTGACCTCTTGCTGATATCACTCAATGTATCTTGGACGGCTTTTCGTGCATCTTTTGCTTCTTTCATTGATGTAACTCGTACAGCATTATACCTATGTTGTATCTGAAATAACCAAGAGCAATTTTTAACATGAGGCTGACTCTCGAAAGCACTGGTGGTGGATTCAAACCTTATGGCACCATATCACCCAGCAAACGTTAATCAAACTTGCTACCGACTTAACTATTCAACTTGCCTGGTAGAAATATCATTAGAGACCTCCAAGTTTATGTTTAGGGCTCTTTACACTCTATGTAGGTATTTTACTGTTGAGGATTTTTTCTAAATCTTACCTGAGCCAACAAGGTTTCTGCCTCTGGGAATTTATGTTTTAATTTCTTATTTTTCAACACTTGTTTTAAACTGGCTTCATCTACTGTTGTTCTGTTTCTAAGATTCTCTAGGATACTCTCAATCTTCTCTTCTTTTGATGGTTTGGGTTGGGATGGAGGCAGGGGGTGCTGAAAAATTCAGAAGATCATAAGCTGTACCTGTCAATATTGTACTAAAAATTCTTACTTAACTTACTTAGACATCAGAGTATCTTGACAAGACTATTGTTATAAATAATAGAAAGGACTTTTGGGGGAGATAGAGGCCAGAAAAATGTTTTCGAAGTGAAGCTTTAGATGGAATGGGGGACCAGTTTTTGGGGGCCAGTTGACAAGAGTTTTGTGCCCAACAGATTCTGGTGACTTGTGGCCACCATAGCCTTCACCCTATAAATAATGAAGTAATAGGTAAAGTAATTGTTAACTCACTCTTCTGTAAGCTTTAACAGGTTTAGTAACAGATTGTAGCTGTAATGATTTGGTATCACGATAAACTAGTTGATGATTCAACGCGTATCGTAGAGCTCGTACATTACTCTGTATATCTGAAACGACAACAAAACACGATATATATCCAGATACAAAATTTGGCTCCCTCTGTCAACTTCATTCGGATGTCAAATTTTGAGAAATATTTTTGTCAGTTGTATTTGTAGTGACATAACTTTGTGGCTGATCTACAAAACCCATGAAATTTAAGCCCATTTTTTGGAGACCTCAGTTAATGGATAGATGTAGGAAAAAGTGTAATTGGCCATACCTTTTGACACTTTATCTTCTTCAAACTCAGCTTCATCATCGCCTTCGAACAGTTCTTCGTAACCATGGTAACGTTTATCTAGAGGTTTACTAGGTTTGAGTTTAGTTGGTGGTCTGGAATCTTTCTCTTCCTCCTGATCATCAACCTGCAAAAATAACCGCATTAGCAACCATACCCAAAAACAAGTTTGAAACATCATTTGGATTCTCAAAAGAACCAATATATATACCAAGAGTTACACTCTTAAAGATTTAAAGGGCGAAACAAACCTGGGTCATGAAGAATGTATCTGCTTCAAGTTCTTCTCCAACATCGGACGACCAGGCATCAGAAGGTCCCGCGTCTGCTTCTTCTCGTCGTCTTGGCAATGCACCAGCAGATGCAGATCTTTGTTGCTTGTTGATTGGTGGAAGAGGTGATTTGTAGCTAGTGGATGGACGTTCTTCGTCTTTCATGAGACCAGGTGGTGGAGGTTTCGGAGCCTCTAACATCAAACGCTGCTCGACTGTCGGCCTTGGAATCTTTGGTACTTGTGTTTTCACCTGAAGTTAGAGAACTTGACTCTAAAATTCAAATAAACGGGTACTTTGATTAGATTCTCAAAGGATTGTAAAGAGTTGTATTTGGGACAATAATAGCATTGATTTACACCGCTCAAATTTTTGTCAGAGGTCTTGTAATTCCACTAAGACTATAAAATCACTATCGCAAAAGCTGCTAATAAATTATAAGTTTATCACTTACTCTTCTTGACGGCTTGTCTGAAATCTGGACGTGTTTTTTGATAGAGGGAGCCACTCTCTTCCTAGAACAGAAAATTGAACTCAATCAATGAATTGTGAATCATATCTTCAGTGATATCAGTCCCGTTTCTTAACTCTAGTCATTTCTCCCCCTGCCCACCAACTTCACATCCCCAGACTCATCCCTGTTCCCCTACCTCCCCACCCCTGTATTCCGACTACATACCTGACTAGCTTAATGCCCAATCTATCGTGTAGAAATCGTTTAAGTAATGGAGGAGCTCCGACATGTTCTGTAGTTAGAGGGTTATCATGAAATACCAGTTCAGATAACATCGGCCAGGCAGCTACAGCCAGTAAGGCTTCTTCATTACAAATCTAAAATTCAACAATTTATTAAAAATATATTCAGAGCTAGGAAACGGAAGATTGGACAATATATCTGCCAAAGACTGCTCTTTATGGAGTATTATTTACATGTTTATCTATGGATTTATTCATGAAAACTCCTGATCTTAAGACATACAGTAATCTGATTGGATAATGAAACTTAATTTAACATCAATTTCAGTAAATTTTTGAGAATATGGCCCCTGGTCCAAAAAAAATTATGCATTTGAAAAATAATTTTTTAGCACACACATATCTTTCAGTTGCTGCTACCATAATCTTTCATGAAACATCAGAAATCACTGAGAGCAAAAAATTGGACAAAAAACTCCATTTTATGAATTGTGTTGACTTGAATTTTTTAGAGCAAAAGTCCAAAAATGACTCACTTGATTATAAGCTAGACTAAGATAACGTAATTCAGGGAAAGCTATTTGAGATGCTGGTTCTAATTTTGGTTTCCGAATGGTGGAGGGTGTTCGTGGATTGATATCAGCTTCTAGGTTTAAATCATTGATTCTAGCTGACAGATCTCCCAGAGACAGCTCAAAATCCTCATCTAGCAACTCATCTGAATTTTACAAACAGAATCTAATGACTTTACAAAAACATACGACATAAAAATATATATAAAAAAAGGGATGACCAATTTTGTTCTAATCTAACTGATAGATCTAATGACTCAGATACAAAAGAATTCATGAAGTAATCTTAGATTAGAAAAATAACTAATTAGATTGAAGTTTTCAGCACCTCTTTGCTCCAGACGGAGGTAATGAAGACAGACAATGTCATGCAGTATGCAATGAAGGGAATTTTGGCAGGAGTTTTAAACAAGGTTCAGTCAGCCTGTAGTATGCATTCTTACTTTTGTTGCTGATGAGAGGATCTTGTGTTTGTATTTCTTCTTGTTTCTCTTCTGTCACTTCCTCATTTTCTACTTTGATTTCTTCAGGCTTGGTCTCAACACCAGCACCAGACTCAGTTACTTCCCCTTGGTGATCTTGAACTTCAGTGCTCTCCTCTTGTTGAGTAGCGTCTGTAATGTTTTCTGTTGATTGTTTTGCATTTGCACTTGACATTCGAGACTTTGACCGTCTGCTTGATCTGACAAAAGAAAATGAAGTGTCTGTAGTAAAGTTAGGTTATTGTAGCAAAAGACAAGGCATGAGAGATTATGACTAAATAGAAAATGGAAAGAGCGAAATGGGTTCAACATCGTCTCTTGGCTTATACATTGTGTATTTGCTAAGTTGACAAGCATAAATAAATAACAAGCAAGCCCATACATCTCCAGTGAAATTCAATATTTCAATTATTGTAGAAAAATTTGCTGGGTAGAAAAGAACATGACTAACCTTCCCTCGCGAGGAGTTTTCCGTTTCTTTCGAGGTGATGTCAGCTTTTCATCGGGTTTCATTTTACCTTGAACAGACTTCAACTGAGGTACGAAAAAAATCTGATTCTTCTCTAGATTGAGATGTTTTAAACGTTGTAATCCAGCCATAGCCGCGAAAATGTTGATATCAGAGAGTTTATTATCATCTAACATCAAAACTTCTAGGTAGGGAAATCTTGGATACTGACTTTTACTGGAATGGATGGAAAATGAAGCAATATTGATCCAAATAACCATGCAAATTTTAAAATCTTAATGACTCAAAACTCTGGCAAACTCTATGCTCAATTGAAAACTAACGAAGTTTAAAATCTATTCCACTTTTTCATCCAATAAGCATTGGCTAAATTGTCTAGTTATTGAGCCACAAAATGGTTAAGAATTTCACAAGCATATGACATATTGTCTGACAGCTATCGTTAGCTTGTAAGTGAGTTACACATCACTTCTTTACCATACAATTTTACTAAATAACTATTACTTAAACTTACCGCCCCTCTGGTACGAAGGGTAAACACAGGTCATGTGGTATATTGGTAAAACCATTACCAGTTAGATGTAAAACTTTTAAATGGGGTAATGTTCCCACTAACAGGATATCTTCTTGTGATAGGTTATTATATGATAGGTCTAGCAACTAAAACAAAATATATTGATTTTTACCTCCTACTTTCAGTATCTTATTATAATAATGAAATGAAATGAAGCTTTACATCCTACTGTTCTGGGTCCATGGAAGTCTCCCAAAAATGAGACTGGATGGACATGAAAATTTCTTATCATGCTCTTAATGTCTGGTGCTCTTTGACTATTCTGTGATCCCTACTCGACCCCTCCATCTAATGACTTATAGAAATACCACTGCCACCTACCTCTAATGTAATATAATCTGTTGGTTTTATTTGTAAACTTCTCAAACCATTTAATGGAACTTCTAATTCCCTCAAGATTGGAAAACCTCGGAACGCCTCTAAAAAAAAAAAAAGGAATGATTCTATTGATTAAAGCTGAGTTAGTGTAACCTGTAATTATCAGCTGATAAAACTAAATTTCTTTATACTTTTTTTAACTTACCAAAAAGATTGAATAAGACAGTGCTTATTTCACAAAAAATCTTTAATTTTATTAACAGATAAAATTTCAGGTAAGCATTGGAAAAAGGTTTTTTCTATCTATAGCTTACCAAAAGGGAGGTAATTTTCAGCAGCATTAACATACGCCACATTATCAAACAACACTAGATCATCTTCTTTAACTTCTGTAAAACCTTGCCCAGAAATATTTACAGAACAGAGATCACTTGGATCTTCTACACAACAATGTTTCATCTGTAAATAAAATACAAACAATTTGATAGAAACATAGAGATAAATTGTAAGGAAATTGAGCCAATTTAAAGCTGAACTTATGACAGAAATCAATCCATGGGTGTTGGCCTACAACCTTTTTTCTAGATTTAAAGAAATTAATCAAATGAAGACAGCAAGAGTACAAGCTGCCACTAGAGCCATTTTGAATAAGGGCTGGTTATAAAATTTTAAAGTTTCAAAAATGAATACTGTTCACCAATTCCACGGCATGGGCACCAAATTTCTATTTCATACTGTTTGGGAAAATGGAAACGATCACAAAGAAGGTGACAATTAAGTACAGTGTAAATTGTTTACCAAGAAAAATCCATCTAAAATAGGTCCTTCATCCTCATCATCTTCTTCCTCGACATCAAGTTTACATTCTGTTATACTCTTTCCTTCCAACTCTGATTTCTTTCTCTCCTCTTTGATGCGAGAGTACGTTCTCGGTTTGGTACATAATACAGCCTTAAACCTACGCCTCTGTTCAGCTCGATGTGATACATACCATGCACCACCAGCTGGAAAATAATCACAAAAGTTGATAATAGGATAATAAGGGCCTACCATTTAGATATGCCAAATATTTAGGAAATAAGAGACTTTATTAAGACTACACTGTGGTCTTTAAAAAATATTACACTTTTCAAAGACTCTGTTAAACAACTTGTATTAAGAAAAAAAGTCAAAAGGTTGTTGTGGTCTGAAAATATAGGTTACGTGAATTGAGTTACCTACCTTCCTACACTATGAAAAATCAAAACAAACCGCTTAGTAAAGGAATATGAACAAAATACTTTTTTGTGTGCAAAATCTGGATATAATACTAAAACAGTCGTCGAAATGAATTACGTACCTTCATCATCTACGCTGGAAAAATGTCTAACAGGAAAACAATTTGTAGCAAACGAGGAATTTCCGTCTTCATCCAACTTGATTCCTGCCAGCGACGCCATTTTGAAACAACTCCATGACAACAATGAAAGGCTTCGTACAAGATTTAGAACAATGCAAATTTTCATGAATGTTTTGTTTTATAAAAGCACCCAAATTAAATTGCATTGCTGTCTGTTTTCAATTAAAATTCCTTCAATGCATGTTACGTTTTGAATCCAATAATTAACCATCATTTTTCATTCGTTTTGTGATTTTGCAGCATCTCAATTTTAACAAACCTAAAGCAGGCGTCGCCATCTTGAAAATCTGGAAAAGAGAACAAAAATTAAAATAGAAATAATAGCAAATCAGTTGACTTCTTATGATTACTGGTACGATTTTTGCAAAGATCTTATGTTGTTAAAACTGTTGCACCCTAAAATGTTAGAATTTAGGGAACTGAAATTGAGCTTTTTGAGTGTAAATTTGCATGAATTTATAAATTCATGACGTCATGACACATCATTCATTTTTCTAAAAACAGAGAAGTGATTGATCACATTTGATAAATGAATGTGAACTCTTGCTATGAAAATTAGTAAGAGAGTTGTAAGATTTCTTGAAGAACAGTTCCTTTGTGTTGAAGTTTACCATTTAGTTATTTCTAAGATTCATTTTCTTGGCGAGGTAATTGTTTGATTTGATTTATTTTCAGTTCACTGATCAGTTAGTTTACTATGGATAGAGACAGGTTTATGTATGAGCGAGGTCGAGATATGGGGATGGACCGAGAATTTGAAATGAGAGGAAGAGGAGGAGGAGGAGGTGGATTGCTTCCTGGTCCAGTAGACGACTTCGAAATGGGAAGAGAAAGGGGTCCTTATGGCCCTAGTGGAATTTTAGGAGAGGTTCCACGAGGACGACCCTTGTTATCTGAGCCATCTGCTCCACCAAGTTTGATGGGTAGAAATGGACCTACCCCTTCTACAGTTGATCCCCTAACAGTTGGGTTACAAGAACAGCTTATGAATCACAAACGACTGGAAGAGAAACTGAATTTAAGAGAGTCACAACTTGCCCTAGCCAGTAATCTTCTTCAACAACAGAGTCAGATGATAGGCGATATCAACACCAAGATGGGAGCTCCTGGATTGATGGGGCCTGCCCCTGGACCCTTAGGTCCTCCAGGTGGCCCCTCACCAGGACGTATTCCCTCTCTATTAGATGGTCCACCAGGCCCCAGACCTGGCCCACCACCAATGATGCCAATGAAACGACCAAATGAAGGAATGAGAATGGACATGAAAAGAAGCAGATTTGATGTAAGTATATTTTTCTAGCTTCAAACACTATCAATTTTTTATTACAAAAGATCTTAAAGAAGTTTTTATGTCTACTTGAACTCAAGTCTCATTGATTTTTGACTTTACTTTATATTTGATATTTATTTAGTATTTATTTTCAAGATGAGTTCCTTCTCGAGATTTCTGTTCACATCCAGATTCCAGAGTCTATAATCACCATGTTCCTGTCTGTGAACAATCTTGGTCCTATCATGGATTTTCTCTTTCACAAATGTTTGTCGACAATTAAACTGAGTGAAAGATTGGAGTCATGCGGTACCAGTGTACACCAAAGCATTTCTATCAAAGACAAAAGAATTATTCATTATCCATTTTATGGATTAATTGCTTCACTTTTTATCAAATCAGACCTTCAATACTTGATGTTACCTGTCTAACATTCAGACCAGCCATCAGTCAAACAAAACTGAACTGTTACAGAAACATTATCCCCATTGTCAACTACCATTGTGACCTAGACCAGTGCTTCTATAAGAGAGTATCTCTTATAAAACCTTATACTATGTACAGTGGTGCTTGTTCAGAAGTTTACCGATGTTTCTATAGATTGCTCATATCTACTGCCTTTATTTATCTTGTGATAGATTTAAGCTTTGATAAATGCCTTTGTAGTATCTAAACCTTAGTTAGGAAATGATGCAAGGCTTTTGCTTTGTCTTATTCATTATCCATGCTGAAATGAAGTCGTATGTAGGTACCTTTCTCATCAACAAAAATCATTCTAACAGCACAATACAAGTCAAACTGGAGATTCGATTTGGAATATGCTATAGTGCTATAGAATTCAACATTAAACATACACTGCAAACCAAGAAGCACTTGGCTAATATAACATACTTCTCAGCAATTTGCTTACTTTAGGATTGTCTTTGTGTAGATAGTTTTAATTAGTTCCCAACTAGAGCAGGAAATTGGAACATAAAACTTTTCCTTTCTGTGTGTCAATTTTATAACCGATTTCCTGATAATTTTCAAGAAGATCAAAACCACAGCTATCTCTGGATGTTCGTCAACTGTTTAATTGATATCGAAATCTTTAGAATGATTCTTAAAATTGAATAAGTTCATTGCTAGCAATATTTGTTTTATGTAGATATTGCATTTTGGTGAAGATGTGCAAAAATTCTGTCAAACATTTGCATATGCATGTTGTATATTTCTTGGATCACAACTGCTCGACAGTTCAGAATTCTATAGTAATGCTGGAAATTTGGTTTATTCTCTTTCATAATCATGCTGTGTCTGTACCATAAATTGAGGACTTTTTTTTCAGATTTTCAACAAGGCAATGATTCAGAATATGAGATCAGAATAATTTTTGAATTTTCATTATTCTGAAGAGCCTTTCACCAGCCTTTTTTCAGCCGGAAAGTCATGCTGGAGAATTCATCCCAAGAAATCGTCTCAAGACTTACAGAAATATTTGATTCTGATATAAGCTTACACTTCTGCATTTGTAATATTTCAGCAAGGACCTCCACCAACTGTTCATCAAGGAAGACCTGATTTTATTAGGCCAGGTAACAATCAAATCCCCTTTCATTTGTCCGTGAAACTCATAATTTAGACTGAGGTTTATGTATCAAACTCTCTACCAAACAGCCAACATTCTCATCTTTGAAGTCTTCACAACATAGGAAGCAATTCCTAACGCCATTGTTGCATTCAAGTGCTATTGCTTTGTAGTTTCCTCAGAAAAAGCGATAGTTTATCTATATAGGCCCTCATTTGAGCATTTGTTTGTCATAATAGATCAGTCCCCTCCTAACTCGTTAATTTCTGGATGACAATTTCTCAAAACTGATTTAACAAGATAGATTTCTGCTTATAAAATATTAGCCAGTGTCCCTTTCCAAACAATAACACCACGTACTGCATTTACCAATAATTTTCGATGCATAACCAAATAGTTCCAGCAAACTAAAATTAGATTTATGCATGAACCCCTCAATTATGAGATTTCTTCCATACAGCAAGTCATTTTGCACTGTATCTTCATATCCATTTTAGACATTGAATCGCACACAATTATTTGTAGTCAAATGGTTATTTCTGTGACATCAAAGCAAATTCTTCAAAGGGTGACTAAACTAGAAGTATCATTCAATATCCAATTCTTTTTTTCCATTCCGGATTAAATAAGCTTTGTTCTCTTTATCTTCTGACAAGGAAAGGAATCATTAAACTTAGTGTAAAACCGTTAAAAATATACTGGCAATAGATATAGCTGAAGCATTCTTTGCTGAGAGATCAGAACAAATTTCACATTCAGTTCTTCAGTTTACTGCTTAAAATGCTGAATTATCTCCTCTTCTCATATGTTTGAAATTTTGTCTCCCGAATATTTTCTATGTGAAACCCTGTCTTCATAAGCTCTTCCAGCTTTTCCTCAACTTTAATTGATTAGTAGGACTACAGATTCGAAACCGCAGTGTGTATAATTGCAATGATGGTTATTAATTGCACTTTTAACAAAATGCGTTGTGCTACGAACAATGAAATGTGAACAACTTCAAATAACCCCATGCATTTTCCCTGATATATAACCAAATAAATGTCTTGTAACAGTATGTATGTTAGTATGAATGTATGAGTGATAGATTTATATTCTGAAATAAGATCTTTAATAATACGTTTGCCTGTTTCTAGGAGGAATAAGACGAGAGGAATACGACCCAAAATTTCCTACCACCGACAGGGTGAGTTGTCTTCTCTTTGTTTTATATCTTGTCTAATTCGTGTTGTACTCCAGCAGAGATTTTTCTGCTCATCTGGATCGAATTCAAACATAAACACAAATAGTCCATTTTATTTGTAGGTAGAATAAATAGTAATAGAAACTATACAGACATAACTTGCATTCTGTTGATTGTTACTTATACTACCTGAGAATATAGTGGACTACTCATGTTTGTTTTGAATTGGACTCGTATGAGCAAAAATATTTTTGCTTGTCTTAACTGTCATGTGTTTTCCAAACTTAAAAACTAAATATTTTCATCTGATGACAACATGTGTAAATTGTGTTGGAACGTTATGTACTTAATTGTGTTAAAGAAGTGTGTTATACCATGATATTGTCTTGTGTTTGTGATATATAATATGCCTTCGATTTCAGATTTTCCTAAGTTGTTGGCTTTCCTTGTTGCCAATTTTTTTTTCTCTTTCCTGTCAGTCTTTGGAAATTTTATTCATTCTTTTCACCATTTCATCCTTCGCTCAATTCATCCTTTCACATTCAGTTTATCCTTTCATATTAAGTTGGTCATCATTTCTTTTTCATTCATTCCTTTTGGAGTCATTTATTCTTCTCTAGTCATCCCATAATATTCAAATCTTTCTTTATTCTCAATTTCTGTTTTTTTTTTCATTCCTTCATTTCCTTCTGTCAATTCATGCTTTCTGTTCATTGCTTTCTTACTCTCCTTTTAATGAGGAGAGTATTCAACTATTCACACCTCTGGAGCTTATCATGGGCCTATATAGTAGGACGTAAAACTCCATTCATTTCATATTGGGTCTGTATATTAGAGTTCTTGCTCAATTCAAAACTCAAGCAAATAAAATTTTTTGATCACTTTTTCCATCTGAGCATCTTTTCTAAATTTTAAAATGCTTTTATTTTTCTTGACAGCTCTAAAAAGATTTTCTTCAATTTCTTTTAAAAAATTCTTATCTTTTTTTAAAAATTAGTTTCATTTTCCTTACCCTACAGTTTGAGTTTGTTTATTAACTAATCTTTAATGTTATTTATTTGATTGGTTCTTTTACTAACCAGTTCTTGTTTCAACCAATGAAATCCCTTCATACTTATTCTTGTTCCAGTTGAGTGGACCGAAGTCACGGTTTTTCTGCCATGCCTGCAATGAAGAATGTTTCAATGAATCGGTAAATCTTTCTTAGTTTCTTTCAAACTTCTTGTTCAATTTGTACTGCAATTTCTTGTTATAGATATTTTTCTGATTTTCAAGTTTAGACTCTTCCATAGATCTGAGGCATCATTCTTAGTTACTAACTGAAGTATCAAATGAATGATAATTCTGCTCATTTAGTTTCATAACCATTTCCATTTCATTTCATTTCATAATTGCCCTTGATTGGCTTCAATATAGATACTTAGTGCCTGTTCTTGACCAATTTATAAATAAAATTATCCGTAAGGCTAGTTATGGTATGCGATGACTCCTAGTCAAGGTCAATGGTTATTAAAAATTATTTAAAGTTATGTATCTAGATTATTTTACTATATGATGTACCTGACTTCCCTTTACCTTTAAATGAACCCTTCCACACATGCATATTAGTCTTTAGGTCAAAGTTTTTCTCTGTGGTGGACTATGCAGGGTGAGCAGCAGATGGGTTAATTTTGACCAACTTTTTTACCTCCATTCCCTTTGTGGCATCAAACCTTGCTTTCTAACAGTTCAGCCTTACTCCCGCGGACCCTTACAGGTCCTACATCATTTCCTAAAGATTATACAGAATTTTGTTATGACCTTGAACTCATTGCATAATCTAACCCTTGGATATTTTCAAGTTAGCTTTCCTTCTTTCTTGGTTCTCTTTTTCCCGCTCTTGGAATTTGTTTCTAAAATTTTGAGCCGATCTGATGCTAGGAAAATCTGTTAATTCAAGAACAATTTCAGGAACTTTTGCCCCTTCAGATTGTTTCTTTGAGACTTTTATAACTTCATTTCTTATTTAAATCAATTTGCGGGAAATAATTTTAAAATCTTGAAATAATTATCTGGGTGCAGACTGTTTGACTGTAGGCTGTAGCCTAACTTCCAATCAGCATTGTCTATTTTTCCACTTCTGCCTATTTGTCATACTTTCCACACCTCTCATTGGAATGGATCCTTCCATTAGATAAACATGCAACTAATATTAAGTTTTTTTGCAGGTGCATGCAGACACATGCTTCTATAGGTCCATATGTCAATGATAAGAAAATAATGTAGCCTAGCTGCTTTTTGTTTTACTAATAAATTCAAAAATCACAATTGTTTGGAAAACAAAGTAGGCTGTGGTGCTGTCCTGGCAAAATTTCCATCATTCCTCACTGTATGGCATCGCCATTTTCATTGATATAAAATGACTAATAGAAATTTTCAAATCCTAAAAATGGAATTGAATCATTTAAGTAAAGATTTCATGAAACCATGTCATTTCTGAATTCAAACAATTTATGGTCTCTATGCAATTTGACATTGGACTTCATATTTCACCTTCTCTCAATATTTATACTTTCATCATGTTGTTATTTAAAACAGTTATTCAATCAACATTTTGATTTAATTTAGAGTTAGACTTGATATTTGACTATAATATTTGAATTTAACATTCAACAGGGATTTGGTCAGCACATGAGATCTCGTCAACATGAAGAACGTATGAGAGGAGTGGGGGATGTAGCCAGATCTAATATGGCTAGAAATCAAGCTCAACAACATCTTAGATTATTAGAGTAAGTCTCTTTCTAATTCCCTATGTGATAGAAGAACCATTCAATGCAAAAAAATTAAGTTGGATAAGCCTCTAGACACAAAACACTATCATTGGTAAAGTTTCTTTTATTGAAAATAGCGTTGCCCTTCCATTATTAAATGTTAAAGAGTAATATTTACCTTTCTACTATCACTCCCTTCAATGAACCAGTTAAGCAAACTAAATAATTGAACTAAATGAGTAAATAAATATATGAGTTAAACGTTGGTCTCAATAGCATTATTGGTGTGTAAATGCAGTTGATCATACTCAACATACATAGACTTTGTCATTTATTCAGTTTGTCACATGATCAAGTGCGTTTACACACCAATAATGCTAGTGAAACTCAACGTTTAATTCTTATATATTGCCTATGCCTCACAAAAGCATTAAAATGTTACTTGTATTGTGTGTTTCAGGGATGATGATTCATTCTGTAAACTGTGTGTTGAACCATTAAAAATACCAGCTGATAAACACAAGAAGACCAGTATTCATAGGGTACGATCTAGTCTTTTTACACAACTGTTCTGACAAATTTCATGATGTATGGCGTATGGCCTTGCCTCTGCTCAATTAGATGCAAGGGAGATCTCAACAAGTTATTTACTTGCAAAGAATTTGGATTATAAGTAGTGTCATGTCACAATACGATACCTAATGCAACAAACAGGTTATGTAAAGAATTTTAAGTTTTATGAAGCTGTCCTCTAATATTGGTGGGAATTTTGAACATTATTAGACAATCGTGTTGATCAACAAATCAACAAATTATTTTTTGTTTTTTGTTTTGTTTACAGAAACGAGTTGTTCAAGTGAACATGGGATGTAGATGGTGTAATGTACCATGTTTTAAAAATTTTAAAGAAGTTTTGAATCATCGAGGAACTAAACGCCATATGGATGTGAGTTTCATTTTCTTTTACTTTATTTTGAGGATTGAAGTAGTCCCTAAAAAATCTTAATATTAATACAGTAGTTGTCTGTAACTTATCAGGAAGATATTGACGTTTTCAGTTCTTATTGATATTGTAACATCATTAGCGAGAGCAACTTTTATTCAGAACAGTATTCGGAGAAGCATTAGACTAGTTTAGCTTACCAGCGCCAGACAGGGAAGATTTGAGGGCTAAAGAGGGTCTCAAGAGGGCTGACTTAAGTGGTTAAATTATAAATAAAAGCTAATTAAAAACGGATTGAAAGCTTGGACTAGTATTGATTAGACTGTAATTTTATGTGACATTTTGTAGAATGAGAAGAAGAATAAAGATTTAGGAAGTAAAAGATCAGATAGTAGTGAGAGAGATCACAGAGATCGAGATAGACGCAGGCATGATGATGATCGTGGACACGGCAAAGATAAGGACAAAAAATCATCAACATCATCATCATTATCATCCAGCAAAAAAGACAGCAAAGACTCAAAAGACTCTAAGGAATATAAAGATTCCAAGGTATTTTAACCATATTTGGATTGCTTAATATATTTTATATTGTATTCATAAATATTCATTACATATTCACCTGACCTTTTACATATTCAAATGACCTGTTACATATTCAAATGACCTGTTACATATTTACGTGACCTTTTACATATTCAAGTGACCTGTTACATATATACATGACCTGTTACATATTTACATGACCTGTTACATATTTACATGACCTGTTACATATCTACGTGACCTTTTACATATTCATCTGACCTTTTACATATTCATCAGACCTATTACTGGCAATACATGTTCTTCCATAGTTTCAAAGTCTTAATAGTTACTTTGCTAATGAATGCAAGTTTTTTTTTAAATATTTTGTTGTACTCACTCTTACAAAGTCAAAATCTAATATTTCAAATTTCAGTCAAATGGAACAAGTAAAAGTTCTACCAGTTCTAAACCCACAGAAAAGAAAGTTGCACCTAAACCTGAAGTTAAAGATGAGAAAGTGCTCAAGGCTCAACTTGACGCTTCAGAGAAAGATATGAAAGAAATGGAGACGGCAACTTTTGATTCCAAAAAGCCTGTGGGTGAGTGACACTGTTATTATTGTTAAGCTAAGATTGACAGTTTCTTCTGCGGGTCAGAAAAGTATTACGTTATTATTGATTTCATTTATTTTAGATAAATAATTTCAACTGTATAAATGTTTTGATAATTTTCAGGACAAAGTTTGGTGATTCCAGTAACAGGATTTTTCTGTAAACTCTGTCATAAGTTCTATAATAATGAAGAGGCAGCCAAGGTCGGCCATTGTAAAACTCAAGTTCATTTTGATAAATTTAAGGTAGGCTGAAGTTTAATTGAAATACTAGAAATTATTTGGAAGACGGCACAAAGCTTGATACTTAATTAGGGTTTGGGAGAAAATAGAGGTCACAGATTTACCAGTACCAGGTACTCTCCCCACCCCAAGGAAAACCCTTTAATCTGAAATAATTAAACTATGTCCAAAGTTTTTGTTCCTAAATTTTATGTGTCAGTTTCTTTTTTCTTTTTTGCAGACTGCCATGTTGGCGAAATTAAAAAAGAAAGTAGAAGCAGACAAGAAGGCGCTCGATGAAGCTGTTAAAGAGAAAACTGAGAAAGAGGCCAAAGAGAAGTCAAAGACGGTAGTAAAAGAAGAATCAAAAACTGAAATTATTGAGATTAAAGATGATGATGAAACCGCTGAAAAGGAGGAAGTAGAGTCAGTCGATGAGGGCAAAGCAGAAGAGGATTCCACAGAGCAGACGACAGCTCAAAATCAAGATGAAACCATGGATCCAGACGATACTATGAAGACTGTCGACTTTGCAGACGTTACTGCCGAAGAAAAAAGTTTGTTGGCAGACGGTGATGAAAACGGAACTGCAAAAATGGAAGACGAGAATCAAAATGGTGATGCAGATCATACTGAAGATGACATTGCAGATAATTCCGATGCAGCCATTATTGGTTTGGAAGAGTCCAATGAAGACCAAACAACAGACGACGCTCAAAATGAAAATGAGGCTGAAAATGAAACTGAGAACCCTGAAAATGAAACTGATGAAACTATCACAGAAGAGGCTACAGAAACAAGTGAACCTACAGAGGGAGCCACAACCAAATCACCAAGAAGTCGAGTTCGTACTGGCAAACCTCGCGGTGGAAAAGCCAAAAGAGGCAAAAAATAGACTGATTTGTGTAAATATTCATTGCTCTTATCACATGACATCTAAATCATTTTCTATTGGATGGTTCATTCAACAAAAGGATGCCAGAAGTGATACAGATCACAATTCTGTAAAAACCAACCAAAACTGTTAAAATGAATGCACGAACAGGGAAATATGTTCGAGGTTTTGGACCTCTGCTTCCATTATACATGTATTTCATTTCAATATTTAATCAACTTCAAATATGAGACTAGAGCATGGACATCCTTTTCTACTTTTTACTCATAATTCTCAGCAATTGACAGTTTTTTGTGTTTTTCGAAAAGTTGGTACCTGTTACAGTACCGTACTAAAATCTTGAGTTATCCTCTTTTCAATTGCAGTCATTCATTTTGATATATTTCTTTTTTCTTAAATCTGATATCAAATTCCAATTATTTGAATAGAATATTCATAAAATATTTCTATTTTGTGGTCATTAATTTTGTATCAAAAGTTGAAGGGTGTAAATTAAGCCAAAAAGTGATTTTGAGTTTCATAAGAAAAAAGCCCTTGCATGTTTCATTATCGTCATATGGAATAGATTCAGTTAATAAATTAAAGACTAAAATCTGAAGAATTTGTTGGCTCTGACTAATGTTTCAAGGTTCATTGGAACTGTCTATCAGCTGGTTATAGGGCAAACATCTTAACAATGATGTTACAATTTAGGTTCTCAAAGTTCTTTTTTTCCTAATTTTGGCGACTTTTCCAAGAAATCTCGATCGAATTTCTGAAAAATCGAAAGAAACTTATTGTGTTCTGTTTGTCAAGGGAGACAACTCGTTTGAATTCTCCAGCATTGGAGATTGAAAAGGTTGACCTCTCTTGAAAAGGAGGAAAAAATGGCTTAGTCGTTAAAAACGCGTTTTGAAACTTGTCAAATTAATTTATGAAAAATCATACTATTTTACAATGGAAAATACGTCAGAAATGGCTGTTTTACGATCTGTTTGGGAATTTGCATTCAAAAAGGTATGAGGCATTCCATCTTTCTGTCGTTGACATTTGACCATTTCATTTCAAAATCTTGTTCTTGCATTGCCGATTGGGCCTCATAAATGAAACAAAAACAAACGGTCCTACTCAGCAACTGACCATTGTAATGCCGCTGACGAAAGGACTATCTTGCCCGTAATGTGGGATAGGCAAATAACTCTCCGTTTGCATAACTTGTAACTGTGTCTGTGGAAAGAGACATTTTTTGACAAGATAATGACCCTCGTTTCCTTGCTTTGGTCCTAGTGAATTAATTCTTTTTTCTACCTTTATCTAAGCTACTCCAAAAACCTACAGTTTTAAATCTTTCTTGTTCTATTACATTAGGTTGATAAAGAATTGAAAGGCCTTGGTAAGGATGAAAGCAAAGACATTCTAGAAGTCTTGGAAGAGCCAATATCAGAAATAATCGAAGGGTTAGAAGAACCTCACACAGAACTTCAACAAAGATGGTGGAAAATGAAACTAAGTGCTGTATTTTTGTTACAAACACAAGAAAGAAATGTTTGTTCCAGACCAATGGCAGGCTTACCATCTATAAGTTATGATACTTATTTTGATATGGTGAAAGCTTTTAATTGGTTCGAATCTATTGTAGAGGTGAGATTTCTTGACAAATCTTGGAAGATTTTTGGTACTGCATTTGATACAAGCCTTACCTTGAATAGTACCGATACTTGCCAAGCTAGCCATATGAGATAAATAGGATGCAAATTCTACTTTCGATTTCTTTTGCATTTCGATGACTTCTAGTTATGTTTGAGTTAGGCATTTTTGCTGTAAGCAATCTTCATATTGGCCTGTATGATTTTTAATTTGATGTTTTTCTTTTTAGGTTCCCTGCTCGTTGGAAACTACAGAAAGATTGAACTTTTATTCTAAATTAACGCAGCATATTCAACGCGAGCCTGTGACATATCTAGATCTTCAACTTATCTCTTCTCTGATTGGTCATTTTCTACAACTCAGATTTCATGATCAACCAATCAATTATGAGGAAAATGGGATAGAATTTCAAGAACTTATATCCAAGTTAATGGAAATCACAATTCAATATTCAGAACTTCTAGAAAATTTGAATGGAGAAGTTTTGTCAGAATTTTTAAATAGAATTCTGGTCTTGCCTGTGTTATATTTAGAAAAGTCAAACTTGAAATTTAAAAAAAGTGATCAAAATGTGGAATTTTTCTCTAATTTCTGTGCGAAATCAAATTTGAATTTCAGCCAATTAGACATTTCCAAGTTTCCTTGTGTATTATGGATAAAATGCTTAAAATTTGTCTCCAAAACTCTCCGGGCAAAATCAAACGTAGATTTCGAAGAAGCCATGAACAAGAGATTTTTCAAAGTGAACAATTTTGAAAGTAAAATGGAAAGTTTGTGTGTGGAATTTCTGCAAATTAGAGGAGCATTATTTAAGAATCTTTCTGAAGAATTTAGCCAAGATAAAGATAGACTATGTGATTTAGTTTCAAGCGTGTTTTACAAGCAACAAGCCTTCTCAAAAAAAGAAGCGAAAGAGAGAAAGGCTGTAGAAAGTTCGTCTGATTCCTGTTTGAGAAGAATTGGAACTAAAAGTCCTGGTTTTGAAGGTAAAATAGATAGTCTTTCAAAATTAATTTCTCAAAACTCTGCAAACTATGAAACAAGTATAAACTATAGCTGAAATGATTTGTCTTAATTGACCCACTGACCAAAAAATATATAACTCGGTCTACAACAAGTATTTCCAATTCTCGAATTATCGAAACAACAGTACAGAATCATCCAATTTAACCAATCCAACTACCAACTACTACGACTACCAACAACTAGCATCCACTGGAAGAAAACGTTAATTTGTCATCTACCAACCAACCGACCGGGTATTTTCAGTGTGAAGGTTTTAAAGGTTTCCCTTGGGCAAGAGATGGATCAAATTAAATTGTAATTGTTTCTATTTGTATTTTATAGATGATATTGAGAATTGGCTCAAGCTGCAAGATTTGCACGAATTGGACCAAAAAGGGTAAGCATTTAACATTTGGTTATATAGATGATTTTCGATGACAACTTGCATGTAATTGATCAGTCATTACTTTGTATGTCTTTTAAGACAACTTCAAATTCAATTTACTTTCTTTTTTTTTTTTTTAGATATTTAGACCTATTTCTGAAGAATCCTGCCGTATTATTTAAAGAAAAATATTTATATGAAATATTGGAGATATATCAAAACTCAAGCCAACAGAATTTTACCAAGGAAACAATTTGTAAATTGAGAAAGGTATGGTATAGGTGTATATAGGTGGATAACTATTTGCTGGTATTTGCCCCTGAATCATACTTGCTAGCCTGGTAAATTCCAGTGGCAAACCCAACCCTGACTTGAATGGGGTCCTGGCATTTAGATGTTTTTGTTTAAAGAGCTAGTTTCACCCCTGAAACCTAATTGTTTTGTAGGCAACTGTTACGACAGCACATTATTTCTTGAAAATAAACTGAGCTCTTATTTTGATTTGTGATCTGTTTGTTTTAAAGAAACTACATCAAGTAAAGGTCTAGATTTGAATTTAGGTGTTCGTTTTTTTTTAATTTTGTCAACTCACACCTCTAAAACTGTATGACTGTTTCATTGCAGCTGGTGTGTGGAGTATTTAGAAATCTACCTCTAGTTCTACAACAGAAGTTTATTCTCCATGGTTACAGAGAGAATGTCAATCTACAGTTACTATCTGAACCAGAATTTAACTCAGAACTTACCGTTATCTTCAATAAATTTACCAACAATTCTACCGAGCAGGTGAGGTTGACTCCATTTGCACCATTTAGTTCCGTTACTAAAACATCTTGTCATTCAGATGGCACAATAAACCGTTGCTAGTCAAAGATCCCTGGATAGTTGAAAAAAGTGTAAGCTGATGCAGCTGTTTTGGCAATTTTCCTCATTGCACACTGCATGGTGTTTTTTTTTCGTTATATTTTTCAGGTTTTGCAAGATGTGATGTATTTATTGCTGATAGATGTAGAAACCACAATGGAAAGACTGGTTGATGCTGTCATAAATAATTCTGGTCAAATAGACACAGTTATCCAGGTAAATAAAGATTTGCATTTCCTGAAGCTGTAAGGACAAAGTAGTAGAGTTAATATTTGACAATACCTTTGACTCTCTGATCACATGATAGTTGTGTTAAGAGTTAATTTCTACCATGTAGTTTATATCAGATCAGATTGTTTAAACCTATTGCTAGTCACAAATATACTTTTAATTGATCACTTTTCATTATAGCAATCATTAGTTAACACTCTTTACTTCCTACAGTCTTATCCTTCAATTTGACTGGTTGGCTCTGATTAGATTTGGTGACTTATGGTTCACCTCAGGGTGAGCACTTTTCAGCATCACCTTGGCAACAGTCAACATTTGCTTGTCTCTGTCCCCTCTCATTTAGATTAAGATTTGGATCTGGGAGAATACACACCTCATAGTAGCTATTATACAACTATGATTTTGTATGTGTCTCTTCCATTCTTTGGATAATATTATACTCTTATAATACATCTTCCTTAAATAAGGGAACACAATATTACATCAAATTCTGGTTTACTATCAGAGCTTATGTGCATTCTTGCTAAGGTTAGGTTTATTTGCAAATTTCCTTCATTGCACACTGCATTTTATTGTCTGATTTTCTTTCCAGATATTACAGTCTTTACCTGACTTATGTAAATGTCGCCACACCCTAAATCATCCGAAAACGACTCTACTAGTTTGGTCCATAAAAAATGTTATTACTAAATCACGAATAGAAAAACAACAGGAAAAAAACTTCCTCAAATTTATTTCTGCAGTTTCAAAGGTAAACGTTACCAATAGTTGTTATAGCAACTACCAATAGTTCACTGCAATCATGTAATTTGTATAAATTATCGCATTTTTATTTAACGAGACAGACTTTCTTTGCCAGTTAGGTGCTTCTTGGCTTACTCAGAAAAGCATCATCTAGTCATTTGAATTGCATGAAAAACCTAGACCCCTCACAAATTGGAAAGTGAAAGAAAGTAAACATATGTCATGGTAAAATTTAACCTTATTGTACACTGCATGAGATTGGTTTTGAAACTGTGTTTCAATAAGTTTTTAGTATCAAAATTGATATAAAACTTTGTGAATTCCATACTTGTATTTTTGATTTTCTTTTTAATTTGATATCTTGTTTTTAATTTTGCAGGATTACAGATATCAAATTCTTCAAGACAAAGATTGTCAGGAACCATCAGTTCTAAATATTCAGGAATTCGTCTTGATTTGTATCATTGCCAATTTATATAAGGAGTCATTGTATACAGACACGTTTTCACTTCCACTAGAATTCACCATCAAACTTTTTACAACAGTTCTCGAGGCGACAAGAGACAAGCCTTGTGATTGGTTGATAAATCTCTTTCCACTTTGTACCTTGCTTCACATTGGTGACGTTTATAATGAAGTTGTTCAATCATTGGTTGAATTTGAATATTTTGATACAAGGATGGTGATTCGTCAATTAATTCACAAGTTATTAGCGGCGATGAAAAATCCTTTGAGAAAATGGAATTTTAAAGTTGAAGGTAAGCAAGACTTATTTGAAGCTGGACTTTGAATTTTTTTGTGTCATTTATTTCCATCTTGGCATCTTCAAATTGTCAAGCTGTGGCGAACTTTGTCTTATACATCTTCAAATTGTCAAGCTGTGACGAACTTTGTCTTATACATCTTCACAATGTCAAGCTGTGGCGAACTTTGTCTTATACATCTTCACAATGTCAAACTGTGGCGAACTTTGTCTTATACATCTTCACAATGTCAAACTATATTACGAACGTCGTACTTATACCTTGACTAAAATAGCCACCATGTTAAAAGTTTCATCCTTGAACTCACAAGGTACATTTTCTAGTTTTGATTTCAAAATAATAGAAGTATATAGAAATAGCTATATATGGCAAGAAATTCTTCTGCCCAGGCCAGTGCTTACGAGATTCGCCTTTAAAGGGCTTTTACTTCCTCTGTTTAAAGTGATTGTCTCTGTTAATTTTCCAGAGAAACATTTTGATTGGTTCATGTATCATATAGAAGAATATGATTGGAGAATAAAAATAGCTCTACATAAATTTATTACAAGTTTTACTGTGGATGGACATGAGTCCCATACACAGGTATAGTAATTTTTATAACTTATTTTCTTGTTACAAGTGCAGACTTGAGAAAAAGTTCTAAGGGACACAATCTGAAATTAAGTCCAGGATAATTTGGTTGTCATGAGCTTCCAGTATTGTGGCTAACGTAACTGAGCTATATCTTTTTTCTATTTCAGTATTTAAAAGAAATTATAACTTGTGCTATTGAAACTGGTGAGTCAGATTTTTAAAATTTTGTTGAAAAGAGTGTAGAGGGCGTGGTGGTCCATCAGCCCAGTCAGTGGCAGAAGAGTAAGACGTTGAACTGTTTCTTTTCATTATTTCATATATCCTTTTGATGTTATTATTTTTCTTCATTAACTTTATTTCATTGACATTCATGTTTTCAGGAGATGTCAAGTAGGTGCTAGAACTATTTGATTTATATTTTCAGGAGATGTCAAGTTGGTGCTAGAACTATTTGATTTATATTTTCAGGAGATGTCAAGTTGGTGCTAGAACTATTTGATTGATATTTTCAGGAGATGTCAAGTTGGTGCTAGAACTATTTGATTGATATTTTCAGGAGATGTCAAGTTGGTGCTAGAACTATTTGATTGATATTTTCAGGAGATGTCAAGTTGGTGCTAGAACTATTTGATTGATATTTTCAGGAGATGTCAAGTTGGTGCTAGAACTATTTGATTGATATTTTCAGGAGATGTCAAGTTGGTGCTAGAACTATTTGATTGATATTTTCAGGAGATGTCAAGTTGGTGCTAGAACTATTTGATTGATATTTTCAGGAGATGTCAAGTTGGTGCTAGAACTAGGCGTAATCAATGAAGAAGTAACAGAAATGGTGTTAGACAACCTACACATGCTGCCAGTGACTCAAATATCTCTTACTATAGCTCTAATACAGGTCAGAACAATTCTCATTCCTTGGCCGGTGCTTCAGAAAGTTGGCCCATGTTGTCAATTCATATCACAAATGAAGGTATCGTGACATCTTCATAGGAGAGGTTGAACACCAACGCTGACTCATCTTGCCCCAGTATTGACCTTCACATAACTTGGGTGGACTTAGATATCATTTAAATCAGGGGTATGCGTTTTCAGAAATCACTGGTTAGACAATAGACCTGAATTTTGCTTCAATGAATATTTGAATTACTCTTCTAGACACCTGATACCACTTTTCATTATGAAATACTTCCTCATTAATGATTGATATACTTCCTCATGTGAAAAGTTCATTAGCTGCAACCAATGTTTTGCCAAAATGTTGTTTTAGATTTTAAGTTTCCTTTTGCAATTAGTATTGTGAGTATTTTGGCTTATTTTTTCTAGAATTTTTCTTGCATTCAAATAGATTCAAACATGCATTATTTGTAATTGGTATTTTTTAAGGTATTACCTGGGCTGCTACCAACAGAATGGTCTAGACTCTATAAACTAGTACTGTTAATTATCTATCATTTAAACCGATTTCCACTCAGACTACTGTTTGTAGAGAAAGTTATACCACAACATCTTCCAGGTAATATTATTTATTTCTTATCCTAGTTAAAGAGATTGGCGAAATTTCCCTCATTTTTGTTTTAGGGACATTGTGGCTCAGTGAGTTAGACACTTGATCACTACCCTGTCTGCCAGGGTTCAATCCCAGCATAGGTCGAGATAATACCTTCCGATTTTTCAACCTGGTTTCATCCTGTCAGTCATGCAGGTCTGAGGGGCTGGCATGGAAAAGCGTCCAGTCATTCAGATGGGACAATAAACCAGGGCTCCATGTGTGCTCCAGTAAAAGATCCCTCGACTGTTAAAAAGCGAATAAAGAGTAGGCCTGTCCTGTCAAAATTTCCCTCATTGTACACTGCATTGCATTACATGTTGTCTTAACCCAATAAGGTGCAGAAAAGTAGGGCGTATAACTCCATTCATTTCATTTCTGTCAAAACCTGTATGGTTCTTGCTGTTCCACTTGGATAAAGAACTTTATCACTATTACAATGTTTGATTTTAGTGGATTTTCTGACTATTTTCTGTCAAATAGGACATATTTTGTTGTTATCGGCTATTTTCCTGACAACTTATCGTCCTTAACTATTTTTTGGAATATTTCATATTTAAGATGTGTATGTAGAACTCGGCGGTATACAATTTATAAATGATGCAGTGGTAGTTTTAACAGACCGTTTACCACCAGATATTTTACAGCATGTACTTAGATCTTATGCTGGCCTGGTTCAGGTAGGGAGGAGCTGGTTTTCTCTTGTTTACCCTTGGGGGAGGGGGTAAACTATAACATAGGTCTTTTGCTGGTCTGACTCAGGTAGGGCAGGGCTGGTTTTCTCTACTCTTGCGGCTGGAGATTAGGGAATGAGCTCTTCTGGGTGCAGAAAACATTAGTCTGGGTTGGGGTATTGGCTGGTCTGGAGTGGAGGGATACCTGTCTTGGGAAGAGGCAGGTTAGGCTTAAGAGCTTTTCCAGGTAATGCAATTAGCTTCTCTGTTGTGGGGAATTGAGTTTTCTTTAAGTGGGGGAAGCATCTGTTTTGGGTTTAGGGAATGGAAATATATGTGGTGGGGAAATGGACTAGTCTGTAGTGGGAGAAAAAAGACTTGTGGGGAAATGGTGTTCTCTAGGTTGGGGGGAATGGGCTTGTAGGGGGATAGACTGTTTCTAGGGTCGGAGAAAACTCTTCTGCAATGGTACTAAACTGTCTCAATGGCCTGGGGTGGGAGAATGAATGTAGGCCTACTAGCTGTTTTGGTATGGGAGGATGAGAATTTATCATTATCAAGCCAAAGGATATACAATTTGAACATTTCTTTTTCAGTTTATTTTATGCGAAAACTGCAAAGAGCCACCAACAGAGAGTAGGGCGTTATTTTTCGCTGATTTGTTTAGTTGTTTGGCCATCACCATGACAATTGTTGTTAGGGAGCATCAGGAAACATTGTTCGTTTGTTTGTTAGATATCCTGGCAGAAGTGAAAAAAATTGACTCTGTGAAGTGTGCAATGAGGGAGACTTACTATCCAGCGCTTCACAAGGCAGTTTATATTATCAAAGATGGACAAATGGCTCGAACTTTATCATCCAGGTTGGATGAGATACTTTTGTAATAAATAAAAAATGATTTTAAAAGTCGGTTTATGTTTTTGTGCCTTAGAATTAGGTCTTGTGAATTCCTAAAGATTTTGAAATTGTGGCATAATTTAAGTTTAAGACTGTCCAAAAAGAACTTTTGAATTTAAAGTTTCTTTCTTATATTATCAGTCAACGCAAAAGTCGCTGATGCTTGGCTAAGCCAGTCTTAGATTACAAAAGAGTATCATTGAAATAATTGTGGTCTTGAATTTTTATTAAGAGTTACTTCCCTTTAGAATTATCTCCCCTTTTTCTACTTTTATTTTACGGTGTTCTTGTAAACAAGCGTGACGTGTAATAATTTTCTAAAGGATTTTGACACTTATTTGGAAAGATGCTTTGATATTTCTTTTGCAACATAATGTGAAGGTAAGTGTGCTATTTTAGAATTAGCAAAATAATTTGAAATACATTAAAATGAAACTAAATGGGAGGAGCGGAAGTCTATGTATTACGAGTTTTTGATATTTATTGATTACTGAATTAACATGTCATTCTTGAAAAAAACTAAAACCCCCGACAAAACGCCTTACAGTTGTGGCTTATTTGCATGAAAAGTCCCAAAGACTCAGACAGATAATGTTGTTGATCCCTCATCAGTCGTCATACCTTGATTCTTTTGTTTCCTAGTTAAATATTGATCAAGCAATAGGCTAAATCAGCTGCCTGAAAATGTTAGTTCAAGACATGTTCAGTAAATATTACTTCAGGTGTTTTTGTCATTCTTGTTGAAACAGTGAAATTTATTTTTATTGGTCGGGAAGTGGCAAAAGTGCTTAAATACTGGCTCTCGTATTTCAAATTTGGCATAATTTGATGTTTCAACAGCCATGCGGTGGCTTCATGCTTGTTATTCTAAATCCAACAGGATTTTGTGTCTATCTTGATCAAATTGTTAAACATTTTAATTGAAAATAGCTTTACTAATCATTAGTTAATTTTTATGTGTACCAGAGACACTGATAGCATCGATTTACACATATATACGGTATCCAATTTTCAGTTAACTGTTAGTGTTTCAGACATCACTATCGCAAAAGCTAGTTATCACTTGGTATTTATTTTTCAGATTGAAATATAATTGTAAAAGGATAGATGTATAAAATGGGAGAGGTCTATCCAACAGAAGAAATTCTCGGCGATCATATCTACAGCCAAGTCAGTGAATTGACTGACACGAATGTTGAAAAGATAACGGGCATGTTGTTGGAATGTGAACGCCCCAAAATTCTAGAAATGTTGCAGAATAGACAAGTTTTAATGTCGTATGTCAAAGTTGCAGAAAAGACAATTTCAAAAAACAGGTTTGTCTACTTGTATTTTTTGACACTTGCCAAAATCTGACTTGCAAAACTTGTTATTGAATTTGAATATTACTTTGTATATGATAAGTTTAATGAGTTGTGGAGAAAACTGAAAATTTGTATGTATCCAAATCTCTATTTAAAAGTCCAAATCCAAATCTTAAGTAGAAAACTATAATTCTACTGAAACTAAGTGTGTTATGACAGAAATCCTAAGATGTGAGAAAAATGAAAGCCCCAAAACTCTGATACACATAAGGAAAGCTTAAAAAAACCTCTTTACAAACCTTTCCATCTTTATAAGAGATTTTCAACGTGTTTTTCAGCACCAAAGAATCCAAACAGCCTGAAGTTTCTATATTAAACAAAGATCAAGAATGTGATAAAGATGTTCTAGGAGAGAAATTGTATGATAAAATACTAGAACTGGTAGATTCTGAATTATTGGCTGCAAAAATAACAGGCAAGTCCACAGTCTAGATTCTAATATAAACATTATGGAAAAGAAGTCTTCACACTATAGCGATTACTTTTTTTATCTTGTAGAGTAGCGATTACTAGTTGTTTAATAAGAGTACTGGTTTTAAGTTTCAAACACAACTCTCATGTAACTGAGTTGCGAGTTGCAGTACTTCATTATTCGCAACCATTCACAACTGGTGATCGCTATGGTAACATTGCTCCTTAAAACTCATTATAAATTATGCATTATGCATGAAGTTTACTATATGCTTTAAGAATTCCTTATTTGATTCTAGGCATGCTATTGGAGCTGGATAGTGATAAATTATCAAAATTATTAAAATCGACAACAGATTTAAAACAAGCGATAGAGAAATCTAGAACTGTTTTAGAGACAGAGAGGACTGAAGAGTTATCTCCCACAGAAATCATGGCAGAGATAATATATTCTAGAGTTGAGATAAAATACCCGGATTTAGCTCCTCAAATTACAGGTATGGTTTGAAATATCAGGGGCCTTGTTCGTAAAAACTTAACTAAGACCAACATCAGATATAAGATATTGTCTGTTGCTTCTGAGGTAACCCTATAAAAAAATTAGATCTTGTTCTTGTGTTTCGTATTAAATCTGATTCTTGTAATTTGGCAGACTTGTAGTTTCATATGATGTTCCCCTTGTGGATTCCACAGTTGACTTCAATAAATAAAATATTTCTCCTTTTGGGGTGTAGGATGTAATGCTCCATTCATTTCATTTTTCTTGCGGAGTGCTTATTCTGTATTTAAAAATACCACAGCACAGGTTGGTAGGATTGTTTATTCTCTGGCTATATTTCAAGAATAGAAATTTTGTTTTACAGGCATGTTAATAGAACTTGAAGATAATGTCTTAGAAAAATTAGTCAACTCTGAACAGCTGTTAGATTCCAGAATTGAGGAAGCCTTTTCAGCTTTACAGCAAAATTCATCCTAGTTTTAGTGTACCGCTTTGGAGTTGTACTGTAGCCTTTATTTCTAGAGGGATTGACAAAGATATAAACAGGCTTGAAAGCAGGATTCCTTCTAGTTTAGTGGAGATACTGGGAGTGGTATTGATTTAGGAGGGAGAGGTCTTAAATTGAGATTAGCTGGTTGGGAAAATCTTCTCTTTATGGAGATGTTAATAGGCCTACAGCAGAATTCAACCTTGCTTTAGTGTACATACTAGAAGTGGTATTGGAGGGAGGGGTCTTTCATTGGGTCAGCTAGCTGGGAAGATCTTCTCAAGAATTGAATTGAAAATGAGCACAAATATCTTTGTTCGTTTGTATCGCCATTTTTGTTTACTTTATGAAGTTCAATGTCAGTCAAAACATTCCATAGATTTGATTCGTAACAGACATTTAGCTTGGTTTCTCCTTTGGAGTCTACATTGCTTCCTGGCTCCCAACCTTCTGGACTCTTTGTTCCTCTTTTCGTTTAGATGTACCTGGTATTCTATTACCCACAGTAGGCAAACTGAAGATCAACAAAGGTTGTGAATTGTTCTCGCAGTCAAGAGAGGTTTTCATGTTATAATACATTGCTATTTAAAATTGTCATCTTACATACCCTCAGTAGTGTTTGTTTGTTTGAATCCCTAGGGAGGTGATAGTACTTCTTGTACAGAACCAGGGATATTTTTGGTATTTCTTTGGTTATATGGAAATAGGTTGCTCACATTTTGTTTCATTTATTTAATGTATTATTTTTGTATTTATGAAATTTTGTTACATTATCATTCAAAAAATGTCTATGTTCTGTTTTTGGGGGGTTTTGTGTACTTTTTAGAGGATCTTTGCTCATGTCTAATTTTTCCATTGTTATTTTGTACCTGTGAATAAACGTTATAAATTGATATAAATATTGTTGTTTCTAGATACATGTACTGTATTTCACTATTTTTTCATATTATATTATATTTCTGTAATATGTCATGTTCTTAAATAAAATATGTTCTTTTTCAGGGCAACTTTAATATCCTATTCATATTTCAAGATCCCATATCCCAATACCATTATTCATGTTAGTTTTAATCTTTCATGGTAGCTTTAATGTGATATATAGTTCATGCTATTTTTAATAAAATAAATAGTTCATAGTATCATTAATATGATATATAATTCATGTTAGCTTTAATGTGATATATAGTTCATGCTAGTTTTAATAAAATAAATAGTTCATAGTATCATTAATATGATATATAATTCATGTTAGCTTTAATGTGATATATAGTTCATGCTAGTTTTAATAAAATAAATAGTTCATAGTATCATTAATATGATATATAATTCATGTTAGCTTTAATACCTATAGTTCATGGTATTTTTAATATAAGATATATAGCTCATGGTAGCTTTAGTGAAAAATAGTTCATGGTAGCTTTAATATGATATAGTTCATGTAGCTTTAATATTATATAGTTCATGGTAGCTTTAATGTGATATGTAATTCATGGTAGCTTTAATATGATATACAGTTCATGGTAGCTTTAATATGATATAGTTCATGGTAGCTTTAATATTATATAGTTCATGGTAGCTTTAATATTATATGTAGTTCATGGTAGCTTTAATATGATATATAGTTCATGGTAGCTTTAATGTGATATAGTTCATGGTAGTTTTAATATATAGTTCATGGTAGCTTTAATATTATATAGTTCATGGTAGCTTTAATATTATATAGTTCATGGTAGCTTTAATATTATATAGTTCATGGTAGCTTTAATATTATATGTAGTTCATGGTAGCTTTAATATGATATATAGTTCATGGTAGTTTTAATCTGATATATAGTTCATGGTAGCTTTAATATGATATATAGTTCATGGTAGCTTTAATGTGATATATAGTTCATGGTAGCTTTAATATGATATAGTTCATGGTAGCTTTAATATGATATAGTTCATGGTAGCTTTAATCTGATATATAATTCATGGTAGCTTTGATATGATATATAGTTCATGGTAGCTTTAATGTGATGTATCGTGCATGGTAGCATTAATATGATATATGGTTCATTGTAGCTTTAATGTGATATATAGTTCATGGTAGCTTTAATGTGATACATAGTTCATGGTAGCTTTAATGTGATACATTGTTCATGGTAGCTTTAATGTGATACATAGTTCATGGTAGCTTTAATGTGATACATAGTTCATGGTAGCTTTAATATGATATATAGTTCATGGTAGCTTTAATGTGATATATAGTTCATGGTAACTTTAATGTGATATGTAGTTCATGGTAGCTTTAATGTGATATATAGTCCATGATAGCTTTAATATAATTTATAGTCCATGGTAGCTTTAATATAATTTATAGTCCATGGTAGCTTTAATGTGATATATAATTCATGGTAGCTTTAATGTGATATATAGTTCATGGTAGCTTTGATATGATATATAGTTCATGGTAGCTTTAATGTGATATATAGTTCATGGTAGCTTTAATGTGATATATAGTTCATGATAGCTTTAATAAGATATATAGTTCATGGTAGCTTTGATATAATTTATAGTCCATGGTAGCTTTGATATAATTTATAGTTCATGGTAGCTTTAATCTGATATATAGTTCATGGTAGCTTTAATGTGGTATAGTCCATGGTAGCTTTAATATAATTTATAGTCCATGGTAGCTTTAATGTGATACATTATAGTCCACGGTAGCTTTAATGTGATTTATAGTCCATGGTAGCTTTAATGTGATATATAGTTCATGGTAGCTTTAATATGATATATAGTTCATGGTAGCTTTAATGTGATATATAGTTCATGGTAGCTTTAATATGATATATAGTTCATGGTAGCTTTAATATGATATATAGTTCATGGTAGCATTAATGTGATATATAGTTCATGGTAGCTTTAATATGATATATAGTTCATGGTAATTTTAATATGCTATATATATAATTCATGATAGCTTTAATATGATATATAGTTCATGGTAGCTTTAATATGATATATAGTT